TTACAAAAATAGATTTCTAAAATCATGTTTAAATCACTTATAAATGTCATTAGAGGTTACATAAAAGGTTGTTGTTATGCACGAATTTATAATACAAGAAGTTCCTGTAGATATTGATCGTGTTTTAGTTTGAATTATTAGTATTAGCCATGGTTTTATTCAATATTAGATTTTCAGTGAAATATAGAATTCTCAGCACAAAGTATTTCAACAACTTTCTTTTTCTTATTCTCTGATCGATCCTGACGATGAATACTGAGTGATCGCTAGTTAGATGTTAGCAGTTGAAAAATTGACATCTGAATCATGTTCATTCTTTTCAATGCATATTGTCAACCACCACGATATCTCTGATTGGAATTTTTTGTAACTTGTACAACAAAATGTAAATTTTACATAAGCGCACTTGAATAGGTTATGCGATTAATAGACATAATAATGTGCTAAAGCAAACAAAATAAATAAATAACTTGATGAAACATCTAGGTGTCAGGGACAGGTAGCTCAGATATTCAAACAGGCCGCCACAAAGTAACATATACTGTTCATGTAGAATATTTACTAGTACATGCAAGCTATTATTTATGTGCAAAATATTCTAGAAGATACTTATCAGATAACAAGTAATTTACCAAAGATTAAAAAAAAACGATCGGAAAATATCCTATGATTATTTATCTTTATCCGTTGTAATAACAACGTATAGGTTTTCAACTTCGCCCGAAGTAAATGACTCATTTTCACTGTTCGTGAATAAAATATATGATGATATCTCGAAAAATTAAGTCCAGGTAAATGCTCTCAGTGTGTTCAGATGATGAATAACTAATCATTGAATATGTTGGTATATCTATCTCTCATTGAATTTAAGAACTTTAGTAAAAGATGATAAATGTTAGGATACTGTTTTATTGGTTATCTTCTTTACAGTTATTTATAATACGATAATCGAATACATATATCATTCGTATCAAACTAATGAAGGTATAATTAGCCACTGTCAACCGATGAAATGTTATAGCCCAAAGCCGCCAATCAGAAGCAGCGAATTATCAATCGGACCAACGACGCGTAAAACACGTGCGAGCAGCCTAGATTCCTGATTGGTCCCGCTTTCCGCCTAGCCCAGCCAGTAAAGTCCAGAACACCAATCTCAGCCTCTGCAATATGAATCCTTATATTTCAAACATACTGAGTTTATATACCAATCAAACAGATCACATCACACATAACATTTGTACAAGATTTGGCCAAATGTGACTGTGAATGTGTGAGGCAGTGACTAATAGACAGGGCATAATTCAAGAATGATAAATCGTATAATAATAGTTCATAGGTCAAAATAAAGTTTATAATAAGAGGAATATGAATAGTTTAGTTATTTAACAATTATACGATAAAAATATACGTTTAGTATTGGTCCATAAAAGGATCCCGAAATTACCATTCATTATGTTTATCGGGACCTAACATGAAATCTAAACCTATGATTGAAGTAGTAGCATATTGTTTATAAGATCTATAAAGTATGTTTATTAATTTCTGAATTCATTTATAATTCTGATAACATGGCAACTTGGAACGATACATATATGTGCCTGGTCTTACGTTGTAGCTGACTGATTCTGATAACATCTTATGTTTATATTAGAGTGATTATTTTCAATCTTTTCTTTTAAAATATCACTATAGGTAATGATCTTAATTTATCAGTGCCATACATATTAGAAGAGTACAATTGTAAAATGTATAATTTTCTTAACATAATTTCATCTTTAATCAATATACCGTTTATTTGAGTAGTAATGTTCTCGTAAATGAGTGCAAATTATTGATTGATAGGATTGTTCTATTAAAAATTTGTTAGATAATTACTAATATACATTTTCGTTGATATTATCTTTAAGACTTTTTAAACCTCCTGAGTTTTCCTATTCTGTGGAACACTTCATTACTATTTATTCAACTCAATATTAATAAAAGTATTTTCATTAAAATCCTAGGGAACTATGAGCTTAAGGAGTTAAATTTTAATAACCTTCGTAACTGGTTAAATTTACTTACTCCTGTTACTCCTTGTGGAGGAGCATAGGTCGCCCATCAGCACTCTCCATCCAACCCTGTCCTGGACAATCCTTTCCAGTTGTTATTCATCCTTTTCATATCTGCATCTATATCCCGACGTAATGTGTTCTTTGGCCTTCCTCTTTTCAGTTTCCCTTCAGGATTCCAAGTTAGCGCTTGCCTCGTGATTCAGTTAGATGATTTCCGTAATGTATGTCCTATCAACTCCCAACGTCTTTTCCTAATTTCCTTTGGTTATACCTTATTAATAAAAAAACAACTACCTTTGTCGATTAGTGCAAGCAGTCTTTTGATCATGTTTTATCAGTTACTGAATATTAATCAGTTTCAAAATTTTAAGGAAGCTACAAGCTAATTGTACATTCGCAGTCTGATTTACTTTGGCTCGAGTAATTAACAACTTACAAACAATTATTTATCTGCTATTGTATCGTGTATTCGGATCGTATAAGGAAAATTGTGAAGCACCTTTTTAAGCAAAGACTAATGGCTGACATATTATTCTATAAATAGGGAGCACTATGTAATGTTTTTACTTGAAGCTTATCATTTCTTAAAAGTATATTCCTTTATTGCTATAAAATCGAGAATCCGGTAGTTTTCGTCTTTTAGAAACTAACTTAACTGTATTCATTCATAAGGTGAAACACAAATCGTTTACTTATGTACATTAAAACAGATATTCTCAATTCTTTCGTTAAATACGAAGAGAAATATCTTGCTAGATAGTATTTGAATTGTTGATTGTTTAATTAATCTCTTTGGTATGCTTTCATTCTAGGATTGTAAAAATGGTCATATTGGTTGGGTAAAAATGCAAATATGAAACTTCGTACCTTGTCTACTTTGCTTTCAGACAGAAATAGTCATGGTAACACTTAGTATCTAAAAAGATATTACACAATTATATCTAGTACCTGTACACAAATATCCAGTCTTAAATGTGAATAACCGGATAATTCAAACCATCCTTTTATTAAGAATAATATTTGTATGCATTGAACTTCAAGAGAACCTCATAACATTCATAACAATGTGTTTGTATGATCATCTTAAATATTATCTTCACAAATGTGGGGGTGTAGATGTGTATTTTTTTTACCTCCTCTTGGATCTATACTAGTTGAAGTGTTTAGATAGGGTGATATACCGCTAAATTTTGTTGACAGACGTCTTCATTGTTAGAATTGTGATAATAATTGAATGTGGGAAACTGGTAGGTAGTTATTATCCGAGGATGATTCATTATATATATATTTAATATATTTGTATGAAAAGTTTTATAATGTTTTACTGTTTTCTTAGTTATAAACTTTTATTTAACTCACTAGCTATTTCTCTACTTATGACGTTCACCCACCCATTCATAGGTTACACTAAATTATTCTTGTACTGGTTACTTCAGATTTCCACCAGAAATGTACACTTTATTGGTATTTCTTATTGATGCTGTGGGATAGTCTTTCATTTTGTTTCGATAATCATGCGAGTTTTTTAAATTTTAATAATACATAAATAATGCTAGGTGCTTAACTGGTCTCTTTGAAGTTCTCGTTGTTAGTTTGAAAACGGGTGAAAATTTTGTGTAATCTATCGACCATTAGCCGGCTACTGGATATAAAATAAATCATAACACTCCTTTAATTATCTCACGTCTTGTTATTTTTTCGTCTTACTTCACATTGAACAAGACTAGATGTTGAGGGAACTGGTTGGCACATTCGATTGTCTACGTTAATCATGTTTATCAGTTTCAATACGAATAAGTGTATATGCCTTCTGTGGTCCTGCATGATATCTAGTTAGTATGCACGTTCATTCAGATAAAATACAGTTGATTCGATTTTGATTAGTATCTACACACTAATATGGTGGTGGTCACTTGTACGATGACAATGGTAGCCAATTCTTTATTATAGATGACCAAACGTGATGTAGTAGAAGAATGATTATTGGCTATTTTCTCATAGCTTATATCTAAGTAGGGAAAAGGTCCATACTTACAATTTTTAGTTAATTGTTCATCTTATAAAGTCTTTTTTGGAGCGGTGCCTCAATTGGTTAACACATATGAGTTACAACCAATCGGATTCTAAGTTTAAACTTAGTTCTGTCTACTTTATGTTGAACAGACTAGTATTGCCATTAGCCATTACACATTAAAATAGTTCAAATAGATTAACTAAACCCTCGCTTGATGAATTAATGACATTCAAATTATAATACAGTTCATTAACTTTACTTTGTAAATCATTTACTAATTACAGCCTCATGTACTTGGTGCTTTAATCGGGTTAGTGGTAACGGAGTATCTACCAAGGGAAGTTGAAAAACTCTAACACCAAACCAGTTGTGCCTGTGACATCCTGTACATAAAGGGACGAATGGTGTGTGAGTCTATTTCGGTCACTGGGTACTATGAGACTGCATACTGCCTTGTAGATCAGACTCTTTGGTTGAAGGCTGCAGGAATGGTTCCTTAAAGCACGTGCTTCGGCTCGTGTGCCCGGGAAATATCCTAGCCCCCACGAAAATATGCTAATAATTACGTTCGGTGAAATTGTGTGGTGCACTTTATGTTTTGGTGCCTTGTTGTACAAGATTTTTTAAATACAACTCAGCTTTGAACTACACATCCTGTCATCAAAGCTGATGTGTTGTTGCTTTGGTACTCAAACCAAAGTAAGTCAAATCGAATTTAAACATAAGTCTTAATGATTAAAATTGAATACTTCACCTACTAAACCACCACTTCTCATTTAGAGAGGCTTAGTGTAATACTGTCAAGTACTTCATTTTCTAAATAAACATTCACCAACTTACTAATCACATTTTTATGTTTCTATCTTTCAAACTTTCTACATTGAAATATAATTCCTCATTTCTTTTTTTTCTCTCAAACATATACATTTTAGGTGCCGGTGAATCAGGAAAGAGCACAATCGTCAAACAAATGAAGTAAGCTAAGTCAATTCAACAGTTTCATTTATCAATCTTTTTAATAAAATGTATTAAGATGTTGATCAACAAATAAACATGATACTATAAGTAGATAGCTAATGTATGTCTAGACTATACGTCTACATTAAACAATCATGGGCTTTAGCAAGATATACAATAAAATACATTTTCTTTGTGAATCATTATGATCATGGTAAAACATCTCCAAACATCGGGACCATTATTAAGTCTATTTAAGTTTTATTGCATAGTTTTCCTCAGTAATCTCTAATGCCAACGATCTTTGATCTAGTTTCTTTTTGCAGATTATATACTGAACTTGTAATAATTAGTGTCAATCTATAATGGAAATGACTTAACCTAAATGTCTCTGTATATTTCCAAGTTATTCGGAATAAGGACTCCAGATTGGTGATTATGAGATAAAGTGTTGGGTAAAAATTACCAATGAGATGGCGGAGAAGATTTGTAGCTCAAGTGGATGACTTTGGTGGAGTTTTGTTCTCTGAGCTGGATGGTTTGGTCGTGGAGCTTTCATCGTTCTTCTGAACGACATCATCAGCACAAACTTCAAATAGAAGTGAAGTGTTTGAATTTCTCCATATGTGTTTCAAAGCTTGTTCTGTGCACCTCGATGTTGATGCAGCATTAGAACTCAAGTCAAGCACAAAAATCAACAAAAGGATCACCCTACCACATATACAAGGAATATCAGAAACCGCAACAAGACTGCTGAAAACCTTCGGAATAGGTGTAGCACACAAACGGACGAAATCACTACAATCAATCTTATGCAAACCAAAAGATGAAATAACAAAGGAAAACAAATCAAACATCATCTACAAAATATATTGTGCCAACTGCGGAAAACACTATATCGGACAAAGCGGACGCCCCCTTCACCTGCACCTAAATGAACATCAATTAGCAGTCAAACGGCATATCTCCTCACTTATATCAATACACGTGGACAACTGCGGACACTCATTCGATTGGAAAAATGTGGAAATCTTAGACAGAGGAAACTCCAAAAACACCAGGGAATTTTTAGAAGCCTGGCACTGAGGTCAATCAGCAATCAACAAGCATATTGAAATCAATCCAATTTATCAACCAATCAGGAAAATAATGCACAAACATAAGAACAAAAATCAAAACACTGGGAGACAACGAAAACAAAGAAGTAAACAATGACAAACTTAAGGTCAATAAGAACCAATCAACGTCGAGGTGCACAGAACAAGCTTTGAAACACATGGAGAAATTTAAACACTTCACTTCTATTTGAAGTTTGTGCTGATGATGTCGTTCAGAAGAACGATGAAAGCTCCACGACCAAACCATCCAGCTCAGAGAACAAAACTCCACCAAAATAAAAATTACCAATATTACCGATTGTGTGTGTGTGTGTTGCAGTTGAAGAACTGGTCTAAAATAGGAAATAAAGACGTCTTTAAGAAATCTATGTATTTGTTTATTGTTTAGACTATGAATACTATAAAATACTAGTTATACAGGAACATCCTTCATGGATTGAATATAAGTTTGCCGTGTGTTGTGACAGGTTGACTGCAGATTTGACCCGCAGCGTATTTATCGATCGGTTCAGTGACACGTAAACACGCAAGAACGACCTAGAGTCTCGATTGGCCTTACTTCGCCGTCTATCCCGGCCAGTTCAGCCCAGAAAACAAACCTCAGCCTCTGAGTTATGAATCATTATATTTCGGACATACTCTGTTTATATACCAATCAAACAAACCATATCGTACCATAAAATAGAAAACAACATTTGTACAATATTTAACAAGTGAAATAAACACCGACCAATAAGGAATGTCCATTTAAAGCCCAAGGACACTATTAAACTTAACATGATAATTATTGGTATATTTCTCCGAATATCCTAACACCGTGTATGGTGCTTTTTTTTAGTGGAAATTAGTCATTTGATGACGATTATTCGTATGACATTTGGACATTCTATTGTTGATCTGACAAACAGTCATTGTTGATTAGTATTTTTCACTATACAGTCTTGGTTCGTGTTTAAAATGTCTTTATTTTTTTAACAGCAAACAGTAATTGTTATCATTATGACATTATTATTATTATCACTAATTATTATGAATTACCATTGGTTTAGGAAGGTATTAAGTCTTCCGTTATTCAACCCTGATATCCTTATTGCTTAGTATTCTTCCGACCCAAATCAGAACACAGCTTTGACAAGTTCGTAATTATATCCCAAATCAATCAAGTTGAATGGGATTGAATTACAATAAGAAAAACGTTAGTATATTTCTAACTTTACACAGGTAGATTATAGGGTCTTCTCCAATTATCCTCCTGAACTGACTGACTAAGAATAGATCAGTCAACGTGCTCCATCACAATCCATAATATAATTTATGTCCTGTCAACAGAAGGGTGATAATTATGAAAATTCAGATGAAAAGTAGTTGGTGTCGAATAATAATTAGACTCAATGAATATGAGGAAACACTATTGATTATTTGTATAATAATTTGTAAAAAAGCAAGACTATTGATTCGAACGACTAGGTGTTCTCAAGAATAAAGGAGTGTTTCAGTGTTGAACTATTGTAGTAATCCTTGTCTGCAAATTGTTCTAACGTGCAACTTTGTTAACGTGGTTACTTCCTAAATAGTTTATAATTCACTATATCAACCTTGTACAGGTCATCTACTCGGACGTTACTGGTCGAATTAGAGCCTATAATGAACGACTGTCTTCGGAATAGATAACATAAAATTGTGTTTGTCATGGCTGTCCACTTCGTATTTTTATTTAACTTCCTCATAGACGTCGTTTTGGACATAACTATCTGATAGTCTGATTCTTTAGGAATTGCTCTCTTTCGAAGAGATTCACTTATTGACTGAGGATGCTCGGATGGCAGTTCTGTCTGCCGAAGACTCTGACAAAATACAGTCTTCTGGTACCCTAAGCAAAACTGCAAGCATGTTTGGGAAGAGGTCTTCTCGCTCCAAATGTAAAATATTACTTCAAGATTGGTTTGCGTTATCTCCTGAATTAGTGGTAGGGACTGAATTAGTTGAATGCATCTATCGCTTCACTTATGTTGGTAGCCTAATCAGTACTGACTATTTGGTGTCTGATAAAATCTCTGCAAGGATTCGAAATACTTGATTGGCCTTTGCTAACCTGCATCACTTGTGTTGTAGTCGATATCCATCCTTCAATCAAAGGGCGAGTTTACTGCGCAGCTGTTCTCTCCATTCTACTTTAAAGTTGTGAAACATGGCCATCAAAAGGTAGGATATTGGTCGGTTTCTGGTATTCGATCATAGGTGTCTACGAAGCATTTCTCGTATATTCTGAGACAACTGAGTGTGGAATGAGGAGGTTAGGGGCAGAGTATTAGGCAAAGATGAGAAGTCAATTTATGAAGTAGTAGTTAATCTTCATCAATTGAGGAGGTGTGAATATGCGTTAAGTTTGCCCAACCACCACCTACCTCAACGTGCGATGTTTTATGGTGCAGAATCAGACTGGAAGAAAGCTAGGGGTGATCATACCAAAACTCGGTATCAGTCGATGAAATCAGTGACAAGTGGGCTGATACTTGTTAACAGGTGTAGACTATCTGGTTAGAGTTCGCATGATTATCGTAACCAACAGTTACAGATTTTTAATGAGAGCATACAACCACCTTTCTCTATTGTTCTATTCGAGCAGTGGGTTTAGACAGGGTTGCCCAATCTCACCATTCCTCTTCAACTTTGCCATCGACGACATTCTGGAAACAGCTCTGATGGATGTAAGTAATGGTGGTGTGGATCCGTTGCCTGAAGAAAGACTTCTCGACCTTGAGTATGCGGACGATATTGTCTTACTGTGCGATAATGCCCAAGGCATGCAATCCGCACTTAATCAGTTGGCAACCAGTGTTCGTAGGTATGGTATGTGCTTTGCACCTTCGAAGTGCAAAGTACTTCTACAAGACTGGCAGGATTCCAATCCTGGACTCACCCTGGATGGTGATCAGATAGAAGTAGTCGAGAAGTTCGTGTATCTGGGTAGCTGCATAAGTGCTAGTGGGGGTGTGAGTGATGAGATCAATGCACGTATAGTGAAAGTCAGAGCGGCTTATGCCAGTCTGGACCACCTTTGGCGCCTTCGTGATGTTAGTCTGGCTGTAAAAGGTCGCATCTACAACGCGTCGGTGAGAGCAGTTTTGCTCTATGCTTGTGAAACCTGGCCTCTCCGAGTTGCGGACGTTAGACGATTTTCTGTGTTCGATTATCGCTGTCTATGAAGGATTGCTGACATTCAGTGGCAACACCATGTCAGTAATGCAGAGGTTCGGCATCATGTGTTCGGGCATAGAGATGATAATTCAATTGGTGTCACCATCTTGAAACACCGACTTCGGTGGCTTGGACATGTCGTCTTGATAGTTTCATCTCACTGTGGTCATATTGTGTGGCAACTTGGATCGACACATTTATATACCAGGTCATATTTTGATTTCAACTGAATAAGTTTACTTATCGTATCCACCAATATATGGAAACCAACTTTTCATATGACCGAATATATTTTTGCAACCACGTCATTGGAAACCTTTTTGTCACTGAAGAGCTAAACATTCGATATCAGTAAATGCCACATGGTTCACTTTAGTTTTGAGTAATAACTGTTTCTACTTATCTGGTCACTTAGAGTAATTTCAAAATGTGATATCCTATCCAAAAGATATCGTTGTAAACGATTGTCTATTACCATATATCGGATTTCATATTGTGAATATGTACCGTGATGTTGAAAACTTCTCATTTGAGCATATTATCTTTCTCATTTAAATGGTCTTAAAATATTAAAAATTAACAGATGAACGTGATTTTAGTCGGTAAAATATTTTGATTAGTTATTTCATAGTTCTAATCTTATCAATACAAACTATATTTTCTAATTATCGGAGTTAAGTTAAATCTAAATTTTAGGAAGGGGTGTTTTTTGGAGATCTTAGTAATTTAATAGTTGAATTTATGAGTCAATTAAAGCTTGACCACTATGGAAGACCTAGAAGCACTAGACGGCCATTTCGTCTTAGCATGGAACTCCTCAACAGTGCCCATCCCCGATCTCACCCTCGGGATTCGGACCTAGGACCTATTGGTCTCGCGGCCAAACGCTTAGACTGTAGACCACTGAGCCGGCATCCAACGGTTTTAAAATCTAACCTCAACTAATCCACGAAATTGCGCCACCGTCCACCATTGCCTTCAGTGAGTTACTGTCTCACAACAGATCTGGTCACGGCTTTTCACTAAAACTCCAGGAAATACCTCTTGAAGCCAGTCACTAGTGAGCAGTGGTTTAGAGGCTAAGCGTTCTTGTGCGAGGCCTATAGGTTCTGGGTTCGAATCCCGAAAGCAGGCTGGTGGATGCGCACTGTTGAGGAGTCCCATACTAAAACGAAATGGCTGTTCAGTGCTTCCAGATTTTCCATGAAGCTCCAGCTTTAACTCATGAATTCAACTATTAAATATAAATCTGTTTATTATGTTACCGTGCTGACTGTTGAAAAAATCACTTAACAGAGTGGAGAATCAAGTGTACTGTAATTTACCATTGATGAGAATTATTAATTTTATTATGATTGGTATTATTTCTAATATTTTTGTAAATCTTTCCTGTTGAACTATATTTATTACAGAAATATAATGTTTGACTTCCTGTATAGTTAGAAACTAAATAAATTTATTACATAAGGATTTATCAAATGTAATTGTCCATAAATTCGTTGATTAGAAATCAATTAACTAATTAATTGGTGAACTGTAATTCTTTTGTTTTACGAGAGAACACTTAATTTAATCATGATAGGTTATTTTATAGTTTAAATGACGAAATGATCTTAACTGGAGCATTAATAACAGTTAGGAAGCACTGAACAGTTTTTTTTCATCCTAGCATAGAACTCCTCAATAGTGTGGATGCGCGACCCCCAGCACAGGAAATTGACCCAAGGACCTTCGAATTCATACACAAATGCTTAACCTCTAGAACACTGAACTGGGATGTAACAGTGTTAATGTGTTACCATTTTCCATTACCATCGGTTTCACACCCGATATGGTTGAACTCCATTGGTCACGCCTTCTTATTAAAACTCTGGGAATGGTATCTCGAAGCTAGTCACTAGTGAAAACATGATTATGGTCAGTGAAGGGTTTTTGTGGAAATTGTAGATCAGTTGGCGTTTTTTGTATGACTAAAATATTATTTTCAATCAATGTTACAAGGAATTTCAGCTTATTACATCATATGCTTTATTAGGACAATTTTTTTAACAATTAATTGTGTAGATGATTCTTTTAACGCAAACTGTGGTATCACAGTTAGAAGAACCATTGAAAAACCAAGGTGGCTCGAAATCTCACTCCATTTTAAATTTGCTAGGTTGATTGGCTTCCCATATTCCTAAAATTTGCTAATTATTAGAACTTGGAATAATTTTTGTCCATCATGGATTGAAATAAAGCAACTAGTGACTAGTTTCCAGATGAATTTTGTGAAATGCTAATGAGGGACTTATCTTTATCCTTTTCAAGATAAATAGCCAACCGTGACTTGGTGTAGGCAAAACACTAGTCTTAAACATTCATGTATTAACATTGATATTTATCTAATGCATACATATTTCATCTATCCTTCTTTGGGGTAACGTTACCAATGTACCAAACGACCATACAATTATGTATGGACTGAGCCGTGTTGGTAGGTTGGATAGGGTCCTGTCGATAATCATTGATATTACTGTCATTCCCACTGTTATACTATTCATCTCGTTCTGCTAATTTGATACGTCGTCTTTGGTCGACACACTAGATGGATCACAATTCTGATAACCTCTCTTGGCAAAATCTAGTAAGCTGAGTCATGCCACTTGATTCTATGTATTCGGTGTGGATCATAACACTGTACACAAACAGAAATGTGATTACTAAGCTTTGGCCGTTAGTTTGTTTACCGTTGATTTTGTCATGCCAATGTAGTATGATAACTTGGGCCAACACGTATTAATACCAGACGTTGATTATGACTGACCGTCTTATCTGTCACTATGTGGATTATTTGTCTAAAAAATAAACTTATTCGTTAATTTCTCAACTCATTTCAATTACTGTTTTTTCACTTTAGAATTATTCATGAAGGTGGATTTACACAAGAAGATAATAAACAGTATAAACCGGTGGTTTATAGTAATACAATTCAATCGATGGTTGCAATTCTCAGAGCAATGAACACTCTTGGAATTCAATTCGGTGATAGTGAACAAGGAGTAAGTCTTGAATTTCTTCGATATTTCAAAAAGTAATTTTCTATAATCATGAAATTCGTTACAAAGGGTACAATGAAGAAGATTTTATTTATATATTTCACCGGATTTAATTTAGATGTAACAATCAAACCTTTAGGTTACATAATCTTGCTAACATTACCCTCAAATTTCATGATACACTAATCTGCTTCGGTTTGGGCACCCGGGCAGTATCACAGCCCTCACACATATCGAATGAGATTTGTGTGGCACATATGTATTTGGTGCCTCTTTGTACCAATATCTATGTGTTGAAATAAATAATAAATAAACCAGCACTAAGTGTCAGAATCAATGGGTAGACTTTATCGATAGACGAACACACTGTTATGATGTATCCAGACGATGACTTCTCACGAGACTGTATTATTGACTTAAGCTCTCGAATGATTATAAATCAAGGACAAGACCACTAAGTCAGAAGAATTGGTAAATTTTATAATACAATAACATGTTTATATGCAGAATCGGAACACAAAATGGACATGATAAAAGTCAAAAGGCGATTGGTGGAAATTAGCTTGTAGGTCACTCATTTTCCAATCAATTAAGACCTGAATGTTAAGTCGAATATTTAGACACTGCATTATTACGTAAAGGAAAATCTATTTTCATTAGCTTGATGCTACAAATAAATCATTACTTCAATTCAGGTATCAAATTCTAGCATCAGGAAATAGGGTTGATTATATTGACAATTGGGACAGCATCTATAAAATCGATTTATTTATGATGGCTTCTCTTACTATATAGTAGTTTCCATTATGCAAGAACTTTCGCCAAACCTCATTGTTCTAATTACATTTTCATTGAATATGACGGATATTTCTGGTTCAGAAATGATCTAAAACTGTGGATCTTTTTATATCGGTAGGTCAAATGGGCTAGTTCTCTTCAGTGTTGATTAAAAGTTGTTAATTTTGATCTGTAAATAAGTAAAGGGAAACTGTAGTGTTTTGATGGGGCAAGTCGAATTGAACAATATCTCTTAAGTTTTGGTTGGACAAGGTATAATGTTTATCATAATTCATCAGCAATTGTAGAAATTATTCGTTGGTATGAATTTCCTAACTATTTCCAATTGACTCAACTCTGGACGTCACCATCGACACTGAGTACCTTCTTTTTGAAAAGAAACTATTTCATAATGAATTTAATTAAAGTTCATTTCATACTAATGGTTAGTAATAGTTGGTTAAGTGATGTTATGATACTTCATGTTTTCAATCAGTTTAACTTATCGTCCATAGACTTACAGTTAGTCTTTCTCAAGAGAAGTAGACTACTACTACAGCTCACTAAAATCAAAGGTGTCCTTAAGACGTTATCATCTTCTAAATTAAAGATCAGTAAGACTAGAAAACATTGTGAAAGGTTACGGAAAGTTTGAAACCGTCTGAATAAATGTGTAGATAACATCCGTTAGTTTACTTGACGTCTACAATGAACTTCTAAGATACAACTAACTCTAGAACCCTTAATCTTGGTTAGCGAAATGAAGAAAGATGTAGTTTCAAGGAACTTGTTGACATTCAATCTCTACAATAGTCTTCAAACATTTGACAGTGATGGACTTGTGTACTCTGAAGATTTTTGTGTACACTATCGCATAAGATATTTTATAATATCAAGGGAAATAGTTAAAAACATTCATTCTCGCTTCTTTAATCTTCTGAATCAACTTCTTAGCATTAACTCTATTTCCATCTTCGAAAGTAGAGAGATAATATCGCTCTAGTTGACTAACTGATCAGTCAGCAAATCAAAATTAATATAGAGAGCCTCGATAAAATTTCTCAACTGAAGTTGGGATGCCATATCAGGATAACGAGATGGAATGTAAGAGAGTTGGAATGATAGTGAGAAATACTAAACATTGAAGAATAGAATCGAAAAAGGTGATTTTGTGGACTAAAAGTGCGAGATAATCTTAAAACTCTAGAGTTGGTAGAAGATGAAGAATGATTAGATCCCCACCATTGTCACGGATTGTGATCCATATTGCCCAATTTTTTCAATCACGTTTATCGACTGCACTCCATCCATGTAGTCTGCACCTATCAGCATGGTTTATTTTAATAGTTAATGACTTCATGAACTGTTACGGCTTGAAATTGATTGGTATCTTGTGTTAAAGTCACCTATTAGAGTTCTAACTGATTTCTATTCTGCGTTTATTATTTTTTCTGTAGTCTAGTGTCCTAGGCGTGGCCAGTTACGCACCTGACCTTCACCGCTAACCTTGGGAAGACTCAATTCAAGCTCTCATTGGTCTGTTGTCCCTAAGTTCTCCTCTATCTTTTACCTTGATAGAAAAGAAAAATCAGCAGCCAGATTCTGTTATATTCTGAATTCAGTCATGACTGAAAACTCATACAATAAAATAGAGTAAAATATTGACCACAGATCAACATAATCAAGAAATGTCAATATTGGCATAACTGCTCCATAGGTGGGAGAATAACGATTAATAAATCTGTAATAAATTAGCAGTAACCTAAAAATAGTACAACACACAAGAACATTTTATTCACTACGAAAAAACTTACAAATAGGAAAATAAAAATAACAACTTCAGTTAGGATAGTTCCAAATGTTCAACTTTTCCAATACTCGTCCCGTTATAAAATTAACAGTGGAGTACTCGTTTTTCGGCTTGTTTTCAAATACGGTGTATTATCATCTGCCTTATATAAGTTTGATTCTCCTTAGTATATTATGTTATTTGGTGTAGGAGCAGGCTAGGGACGACAAAACCAAAACATAAAATCAGTCCATGAAATCAGTGGCAGCTGGTCTGAGCCGTGTTAACAAGTTTAGACCATTGAGTTGGAATCAGAGTGATTATCGTAACCAACACTTACAGAATTTTAATGAGATGACTCAAAATCGTTTGGAATGACCCAGGTGCATCCATTCTTTGTCCCCCTCCCAAATTCTGAACTTCTGAATTGCTTATTACTTCTTGTCTTTAAAAAAAAATTTACTAATTTATGTTTTCTCGAATCGTATATTTGACGCCTAATCTTTTCTGTTACTATTGATACTGTTATTACCTCTACTATTCTGGGATTTAACCTGACAGCTTGATCTCGATTTACCAATTGATTATGGCACCTCGAATCGGATAGATGTTCATACATACAGGTTCTACGTCGTGATTGACTGACTGAAATTAGTCAATAATCAATTAAGTTCTGTAATTTTAACAGCTATCTATCTGTTCATTAAAATTCTTATTATTGGAAGGCGTTTTCGATGGGATTTTAAATATCTACGGATTTAATTGAAATCAATATCAATTGTTGGTATCTTTCCACATAAAGACTTGTATTCAGTCTTAGGTGAAATATCATATGAAATGATGATGTGAGACAGTTATTATAAAGAAATTATTAATTTAGACTCGTGATATCAAGCAGGTTCAATAATCACTGTGACTTTTTGTCAATTCATTAATAAATATGCACCAAAATGTTTTCTGTTTTTTTTTTTTTTGAAAATCAATAATCCCATTTCTGTGCACTTTTAACGTCATTAAATAACTAAGATGATTTCTTTTGGTGAATTAGTGCATGTTGACCGTATTTAAATTTATGTTATATTATTTAACATGGAAACAAGGAATACTGTGTCATTTTTTATATTCTCTTTTTTTGAACTCACTAATCTTCGTCCAGCACAGTTTGTTAAAAAATGTCCTGTATAATGATCATTCTATTGGTTTAAAAGTATCATTTGACATTTGAAAAGGATCCTGATAATTACCCATTTAGATTAAGTTGAAAAGAAGCATTTATGATTTAATAAAAACGATATTTACTTATTTGTTAATATAATAGGTACATCTATTCACATTATTGGACGGATGGGATGAATTCTTGAATAGTCTAAGGTTCATTAGTGTTTAGTTTTATAAGCAAATTTTTCCTTACTATATGTTGGAGTATCTGTGTAACAGTTGGACGTAAATTTTTTTCTATCGGAGTTAGAACATTAAGAGTTTAGTTCTAATTACCATAAGTTTCTAGTTACTTATTTTAACACCAGGAATAAATTTCACTTTAATTTTGAGTCAATAGCCATCATTTATTTTAAACAACTTACCGACCTTAGTTAAATAACTATTGAAAGTCAGGAACCACTGGACAACTAGTGCGGAACTCCTCCTTAGTGCGTATCCATGATATATCGGTGATCGAACCCAGACCCTAAGGTCTAGCGGCAAGTGCTTAACACTTAGTGCCATTGGATCGGCATCCTGTAATTTGCATTTTGTCTTTAATCAGTTCGGGATATTACACAAGCACCTTCCAATGACATTAGTGAGTAATTGCCCCAAATTCATCACGGTTGATGGCCACTGGTCACCTATTCTCACTAGAACTCATGAAATTACCTCTCGAAATTAGAAACTAGTGAGCACATTATTGTTATTAATATGAGGGATTTGTAGAAATTTTTAATTTGTATTGCTTACACTACATCACTTCCCATCATTGAACAGTTGGGATTTATATAAAGAATCTTTCTGTAAGCTTCATTTGCTAATGTGTAATAAATAAGGTTGATCTGTTCATGAAGAAAGTAATGGTGCTGTGGTATCCATACATTTGTCTTTATGTTTAGTCTAAATTGTCACTGAATAATGTGTGAACGAAATAATAACCATGAAACAGACCAATAATTAATAGAACTCATTAATTAGCGCTAAGAACTAGACACTATCATTTCGGCTTTATAATCTGACAAATCGTATTATAATCTTACAGTCTTAATGTTATTACTCATACTTAACTAGAAATTGTAGTTCAGATTCTTTATATCCCACATTACTATAAAGTACGTCGTGGTGTTTTTATAAACTGTCAATAAGATTAATCACAGTTCGTCTATTTTTTTAGTAGACTTCCAGGAAGTCATCTAGTTAAAATATTCGACGTTTACAACTCTTCACGTTATATTTATCTCTTCGTTACACTAATCAGTTTTCGTTTAAATTTACAACTGAACGGTTATCAAACTCTCAAGGTTATTAATGGCTAATCTATCGATCGTTTTGATGAAAAATCATCTCATTTTTCTATGAATGAATGATGTCAGGACAAAAATGATTGTCGATACATAATATAAAGGGGTTGTTAATACTTTCTCATTATATCAGGATGAGATACATTGCGAATAAAAGAGAGAAGGATTGTGGAGAAGGAATAATATTTTTATTCTGTTCCACTCTTTCAATTTGCATCATAGTTAGTCTTTAGTTCAAGTCAGACCAGCTTACTAAACTACTGGACATATTAAAAGACAGCACTGGTCTATTTCATTAGTATAAAAATTAGGTGAAAAATTAAAGTCAACTGAAATAGGGGTGATATGATTTTTTTCCCATCAATATTTTGTAAAGCTCAATATCTATTTCTCAGACGTGTATGTATGTATACAATCTTGGGATCGTTGAATATATGGAATAGATGTAAGATTATCTGTTATACACAATATATGCATATATATGTATGTATGTATATATGCATGCATTTATATATATATATATATATATATATATATATATATATATATATATATCCCTAACTAGGGAAATCAGTCCATTATTGATTAGTGTGTCTTTGAGTTCATAACCTTGACCTACAGCATTTTACCTCAATCATAAATTAGTTACTGTACAAAATTATAAAATTAAGATAATCCCTGTTTTCCTAAAATGTAATGTACCGAATATGAAGTTCTTTTTTTGGAAACTTAAAACAGTTTCTTTTTTATTTATTTATTTATAGATATATACATACTGTAACGTTTATTCACTAATCAATATCAATGGATGACATAAACTATCATTAATTTTCGTAACTTTTCTGAAACATTCAACAAACATAAAGTAGACTATTCGATAAAATGTAGAATAGTACCTACTTTATTGTTTAGTCAAATTGGGGAATGGGATCTTTAAAATGAAAAACAATAAGTCTAATCATAATCATAACGCTACAAATAGTAATGTAAAATCATATACAGAATGCGCTAATGTTACATTAACGAGTAGAATAAGTGAAGGAAATTTGAGATTGAGGATAAGACGAAGAATAAATACATATTTATTCTATAGTTGAATATTTCAAGTCGTATTACTTAAATTCATTGAGCATAATATATATCACGGTTATTTTCTCACTGACTTCAACCTAGTAACCTGTATCTTCTCATACTGCAGTGAGAGTGATTTTATGGGTTGATGATTTGTCACAACATATATCGTATACAAGTAATGAAGGTTAACATAGATATCAACCATTTCTGCTTAAATTTCTACATTTAACTTTTGTATTGATTCACTTGATAGTTTCATGATACGAGAAGAATGTTTAGAAAAAAATCTGTATTCCAATAGTGGCAATCCACCCATGTCCTCTACGTACATAGACCATGTTTTACGGTTGAAAAGTACATTAATCCTTTGGTAAACAGATTAAAATCTTGACTGAGATACAATTGGCACTGGCTGGCAAGAGCTCAATTAGCTCTTTGTATTCATATCGAAATTTTATAAGCTAACATGACCTTCAAGATATGCGAAATGTTGCCGTTAAAATTGAAGAAGACGTACAATTTCTGGGACGTTGAATGTATATAATAGTCTGATTGATTTCCGTTTGTAAAGTTATGTAACATAACATTAACAAAATCTGTCTCCCTCAACTTATTTGACCTGATTTAATATTTTCAGATTTTTATTGACATGTGTATATATGTATTTCTGTTTGTATGTGAAGGTGAGTGTTCAGATGCAGCTGAGAAGCTGAAATAGCTTTCTTACTTTCAGATAGATGTATTCGATTTTGATTGCTTAGATGACCTTGACCCTGTAGAGTTTCTTTTCTTCATGAAGGAATTAGACATCCACTCTTCTCCTATAAATTTGTTCATACATAGATTGGTTAAAAGCTACAAGATTAAATATCAGACCACATTTAAATAAGCTTTTCATATGGGATTATTTTGTTTTGCTATTCTTTAATGCAGCATTCAAACGAAGTCATGTAGTTTAAACATAGGATAATAAAAATTTAATTCTACCGAACTATCTACATAATAATAAACATTGGACACCCATATTCTTTTAATAAGGAGATAGATATTTAATTGGGTCGGGCTGATTTGTTGCTTAAGAGCGAACTGGGAATCTGGCAAGGGTCTTAGAATTTTCAGGTAGAGAGTACACGTCTTGTATTTGTAGCAATATGTTTTTGATGAACACATGCAATGTATACGGATTCTAGATTTTGTCGCCAAATAGCATGGAATATGGCATCGAATTATCTCTTGTCCACATTTAAATCAAATTGTATAGTTACTATTTCCAGAACAATTTCCAATCGTATCGTATAAACTAGAAAAGTATCAGATACTCTAGTTTGATTCTATTAAGCTGATTCAATTGTTACACTTCAAAATCTCTACGTGTGTTTATTTTCTATCTGTTTATGTATATTTTTTTCTCTTCACGATTCTTTTGATTTGTTTCTATGTTAATGCATTTAACTTTTCCAAGCATTTATTCTGATGTGATGAATTAAAGAATAAGTCAGTCTTTTATTATTCATTACTTAAGTCTGTCGTATAATTTTTGTCATTGTTTAAGCAGTGTCGAGTCACCTAGACTGGTGGCCACATTGCAACATGATCGATAGCATTCGATCTGCACTAATAAGGACTAGACAAGCATGACATTGATCACCACCCAGTGATCAATCAATTGTGAGCAGAACAAATCATTAGTCAATCATCATTTTCCTCATTGACAATCCACTATATCTTATGGTTGAGTATTATTTTTCACGGAAATTGTAGGGCTTATAGAGAATTTCAGCTTTTAAGTTATGTGCTTATGAATTTCTCGTTTGACTCTGATTCTAAATGAATAACTTGAACAAGCTTTTGATCGTTTTAAAGTTCTAGTTTTTGTCTTATATCTGTGGAGTAAATTCACTTGGTGTTGTTTTACTTGTTTGTATCTTCTCATTGTTATTTAGGACTGCAATTGATCAGTCTCATTTTGGCATATATACATCCTGTGCGGATCGCTTCAATATAGCCTTAAGTCACAAGTTTTTTAAGCAAAGATGAATAGCAGCTAGCAGTGGAACCTGGGACACGCGTTTCATCTTATTTGGGACTCGTCAGCTGGATTTACCTGCATCCCAGCGTTGATGTTCAATTGCAGTCCTAAATAACAGTGGGAAGATACAAGTAAAACAACCCCAACTGAGTTTAAACTTCACCCCATCGCACAAGCAGGTGGCTATCAGGACTCAGTAACTAAGTGCAGAACCCAATGGTGTTTGAAGCGAACAGTACTGGTTTCGAGTCCCAAAGTGAATATCAACTCTGAAATGCAGGTACATTCAGCTGATGAGTCCCAAATAGGACGAAACGCACATCCTGAATTCCATTGCTAGCCACTATTCATCTCTGCTTAAAATGTCTATGGAGTGTTTAAATATTTGTTTGAAAACTGAGAATCCCTAATTTCATGTTTTCTTTTATATTTTCGATATCACCTTTAAAATACCATAATCATGAATAAGTAATGTATCATTGTTGACTATACATTTTATTACAATAGTTTTATGCCACCTAGTTTAATCTATAAATATTTACTTAATTTTTTCTTTAAACGTTTGATCACTTTTCCTATTAACACTTTGGTTCTCATTTAGAGTAACAATTAACAGGACTAATTTCTTCTTTTTTTTTCAATTAGTTGGAGATTTCTGATTACTTTAGTCCAATGAAACACGTTTTTAGTCGATAATCTCTTTGTGTAAATTGAGAAGTTCTAAAATTCACACTTAACACTATTCTATAAAAATTATTGAGTTTATTTTTGATTGTTGATCTCATTAAAGAACTAAGGGTTTCTTATTATTTAATAACAGTAGTAATCAATTTATACTCTTAACTGTTTAAACGTGTTTTGTTTACTTACATTTTATATTTTGTATAAAACTATATCAGGCAGAAGATGCTCGTATTGTTTGTGATGTTATCCAAGCTATGGAGGATACAAAACCATTTTCGGAAGATTTACTCGATGCAATGAAACGATTATGGGCTGATTCTGGTGTACAAGAATGTTTTGCACGGTCAAATGAATATCAATTAAATGATTCGGCAAAATAGTAAGTGGTTTTTATGATGAATGTGTTTATATATCCCGTTCTTGTATGTACTTACTTATTTAGGCATATTTTGTATTTGTATATATATACAAAAGATCACCATTTCAAGACATATTGGTTAAAAGTTCCCTAAGAAGTACAAAAAACCCTTGTCATTTAGTTTTCTTACGTTGAATTCTGTCTTGAATTTCGCTCTTGTTTTTTTTACTTCGAGAAAACAACATCGATTATAAACAAAAAAGAATATCCTTGCTTCCTGGTAATTTTTATACCTTCGTATATACACACATTGTGAGACTGAAGAAATTCCTGCTAAATGTTGAAATTTTGGATTTAAAGTAAAAAGTACTTTAGCTCTTATGGCAAACCAAAAATGCAATTCATATAGATAGTGCTGATGTTCCTCTGAAAGCATATATTTTTGGAAGCGGGTTCAACGTTTGGATGTTCTATAGGTTCAGAAAATAAATTCTACAATTGTTATTGATGATTGTTGGTTTTATAAGTGATGATATATAGTTTGGGGGTGGGACAGAATAGTTAACCAAGATAATGTTCAGGAACACCAACTGTAAAGAAATATGACAGGTACGTTAAAATCCTGTTCATGTGGCAGCAATTAATTAGAGAACAAGGTGTCAGATGGGTAGCACGTGTATTTGGTGAATTATAATGAAATGTACCATACCGAAGGTGTACAAGGTGATTCAATGCTGACTTAAACAACATTTTATGATCAATAACCAGTACTGTACAACTTAAATGCATTTATTCAGAACATGTGATTAATGGCAAAATGATTCACGAATTCGGTCTAAATTACTCGTCTCTGTTATATCTTCCTCCTTCTAGATTGTCCGGAGGAGACATTGGTGGGAAAATGCACAAATTAGACGGAAAATAATGTAGTGCTATTTTGTAAGACACATATTTATGTTATATCTATAGATTGATCGGGATTTTCTAGAGAACAGATTCAGCAATGAAAATCCTGTGCATTTTCTTTACCTTTACGTATCGTGTTTCCGGTTATCACTAGCGTCCTACACTCCAACTGGCAAGATAAACCCTGGATTTAAAGTCCTGAAATGATTCTTATTCTTATTGGTTCAGAAAATATGCTCTTATTATAACCCAGTCTTCGGTCTGATAATATAGGACACAGCAAGCTGTAGTGCGGTAGTATAGCTTATGTAAATCAACTCATAAAATGATACAGACTAATTTCCTGGCCGCTTATCAACATGAATATGCAGTAAATATATAGGCATAACTACGTCAAAAGTTGCAGAGAACGAAAGTAAAAAAGGTGAATGATTAATTGGACATAAATAAGGAATGGTGAAACGTACAACAATAGTTAGTCGGTATATTAAAAGCGTAGAATAATGAAAATATAAAATTACAATAATACAATTATGTAATAATTATATGATAAAAATAGAAATAATAATAGTCCGTAAAAATAGTTTCGAAAGTCACATCATCCCAAGTATTCTCTCCGTCACAATATATATTTAGGCCTATGTAATATGTTAATACTTAAAATAATTGTACGTTTGTTTTACTGAGCTTAAAAAAAAGGAAAAGTGATAATAATAACACCCAAAATTAGTAAACTCTGTAGTCAACATACACAAAGAATTGGTCGGACGCTAATTCATAAAAAAAAATAACCAAAACTACCCACACTTTGAATGAAAACGTATGAGAGATTGCTAATTAAACGGAATTTAGATAATTATAGGATTTTCACAGATTGAAATCATGAGACAGTTGAAGCTAGACCACCATTGAAAACCTGGAAGCACTGGACGGCCGTTTCGTCCTAGTATAGGATTCCTCAGCAGTGCGCATCCACGATCCCGCACCACACGGGGCTCGAACCCAGGAACTACTGGCTTCGCACGCGAGCACTTAACCATTAGACCACTGAACCGGCATCCAACGATGTTAATGTCTAACTCCAACCAGTCCACGAAGTTGCGCCACTATATACCAATGTCTTCAGTGAGCTGATATCTCACCACAGACCTGGTTGAACTCCACTGGTAACGGCTTCCCACTAGAACTCCAGGAGTATCTCTTGAAGTCAGTCACTAGTGAGCAGACCACCATTTCAATGGTGGTCCAGCTTCAACTGACTCATGATTTCAATCTGTGAAAATTTCTAAAATCTCCACAAACCCCTTCTGATAATTATAGGATTATTGTGTGTATAAACAAACGAAAACTGTTTTAATGCAGAACGATGAAAAACTTGACAAGTTGTGACGAAAAAAATTAGCATAATGAATATGACGTTTAGACTTGTTTATTGTCTTACCGGAATGGGTTGTACTAATAGGGTTTGAAGTTGAGCTGTTGTTGGTTTCCAGCTTCGGTGAGACAAAGATTTGAAATCCCTTTTTTATCTTCTTATTATTGTCTTCTTGTTGAATGTCCAGGAAAGATGAATTCAATCAATCTAGAGACTTTCTGTCTTTCCGCACCTATCGATTATGAAATATTTTTTGGCGCTCTGTATTACTCGATAGGGACCTTCATAAAAAAGTTTCAACGACCTTCTCATTGAAATAATGCGTACAAAAGCAAGATACTTGTTAAACTATTCGTTATGAGTGTTTGTGCGTGAAGGAATTGGTTTGGGTCGTTGCATCATTTCCATTAAACTGGTTGCAAAACTTGCGGGGTCAATTCGCACTTTATCATCCTTGCGAAACTAATGTTGCATTGTTAGTTAATTATGGTGTTGTACAACCGATGTTGCATCTAATTGTCAATCGGATGTCAATGAGAAAAAGTAGTAGTATACATGAAAAGATGGTGGCTGATAGACGATAACACACTCGTTTTATGTTTAACATATTATAAGTATCGCTAAAGTGTATGGTGTTCACGTAGAGAAACCAACGATGAACACTTTTATTGATATCTTACACAATTACAATATCGCCAAACCAGATTACCAAGCTAAATACCTATCTCACAACATACAGCATCTCATAATTACAACAGGGCAGTCAATCTAAATTGAACCGAGGCGATTACCCCCCTGAAAAAATGGAAAGCGCCAAAAGAGGAAATGCAAAACCAGTGTTGTTAAACAGCGTAGTGTTACCACATCTGAAATTTCAGTCGTACTTATTTCACATGGTTTGAAAATTATATAAAATCAAGTGATGTATGAATATGTATGATTATATCTTTCGAAGAAGGCGGTGGTTGGATATTGGTAACGCGGATATTAGTTATTTTAGTTCATAAAGTTTCGTAGCCTGATCAATAGATTTGCTGTTATTACCTATTAACCTGTATTTAACGTCAGTATTGTTCACTTACTTGTTCCCTTATATATGAGCAATAGACAGTGAGTTCCGAAATCCTATTAAGCGATAATTAGAACTGAACTGTTAAGTGAACATCTGGTAAGTCAGAATGAAAATTATAACAGTAAATATTTTGGAGAAGACAGTTAATTGAAAAAAGATTGACTTATAACTGAACTTTACTCTCTATTCCACTAAAAACTGTCGTTATTCGATCACTTTTGCTTTCAATTATTGACATTAAATTTGACGCTAGTTCATTGTTCATGTGATAAAGGAAAAGCTTTTTAGTGTATCAACATTGGTGACGCTGGATGAACTCAAACACCTCTTTAGTTTGTAATAATTGATTTACATTATTATTTGCTTGACAATTTATATTAAGCTTACTGATTCGGAAAACATTAATATAATAGTTGGGACAGTCAATCTGATGGTTATCAGTATGGGTCATACTGTTTAAAATAAAGTGATAGTATCCTATTACCTAAACTTCATTAGGTTCTACGGGGTTCGTTCATACAATTGATTATTTCTGTAAATGTAAATTTGATTATGGTTTACCTGTCTCGTTTATTTACTTGTTTTCGAGGCATTAATTCCATTCCAGCAATCTCTTTCAAATTATAAACGGATCTGTTATAGAGGATAAATTGTTGTTTACTGCTGTCTCAAACATTTTATCATCATAATCAATCAATTAAATTTAGAAAACTGTTAATAGTCTACTTTTTTTCATTGTTTTCCTCACATAAATATTATTAAAGACAGTTGGGTGATAACTTTTCGTAAATAAAATAGTACAAATAAATAAGTTTGTCGTCTGTGTTGTCCTTTTTGCGACCCAAAACAAAGTCTCTTTCAAGGTCAACACAGCTAGCCAATTACTGTAAACATACTAAATGCTTTTTGTTGTTAATGATAGAATAGGTTCATTACTAAATACTTTCTAAAGTAGAATATAAATAGGGGATGGAAACCGATAGTCTGTTTACAGTGATAAGCATATATTACGAGGAATACGAAGTTGTAATTAGTTGTGAATATGTACATGACAATGAATAATATTGAGATGATAAGTTGTTAAACATGTTTATGCTATTCAGATATCAGGTTATCTAGTTTTTGTGAATAAGTGTTAGTTATTAGTTGTGACGATAACCGTCGATATCATTTTTCTGATTCACATTTTCGTGAGACCTTTGATATGTCCCAATCGGTTGCCACAACTTTTTAGTTTAACTTTTCTATGTACCACCTCATGGTCTTCGTCGTTATAATAGAGAGTTGTTCCGCTTTGATGTTGTCTTCGTTAAATATTACATTTTCTCTACTTCACTGTTAAATTTTTTAGATCCCATAATAAGGGGTTACTGTTTGGAAATTCCACATTTCAGTTGCCGTCTAAATGACTACTTGATAGTGCTATCTTCGAAGGATTACGATATCATCTAAGACTGGCGAACGGAACAAAAGCCAACAACACAACAACAGGATAAGCTTAGCTATTCTACTGAGTCCCAGCCCTACTAACTAGAGGGGAAAAACCAGACTCATACGGGATATATATATATATATATATATATATATATATATATATATATATATATAATGAATAATGTCCTTGAAAAACATCACAAAATAGGGTACTAAAAGAGGAAACGAATCAATGACATTTAAGGTCTTTCCAGATGGGAAATAGAAACTGAGGGTAAAAATGGGCTCATTCGGCGCGAACTTGAGAAATTGGAACTTCATTAATAAAACTACAAAAGTGATAATTTTACTAAGTAATTTCTGGGGACATAGCACCCCCAACACCTCCTCCTTCCTAATAGGGTATTTTCTTGGGGTTCACTTTCATCTTGATCGTTTGTTACCGTTGTCGAAGTAATCAGATTCTGGAACGTAGGTCGATTTGTTTTTGAACTTATTTTCTGTTGAGATTAGGGGTTTACTAAGTGATATCCATTTGTTAAAATGACCTATTTATCCTCATTTCGATATTTTAATTCAATTTTTCTCAGTCAACGTATGACCAGGCACATATGTGCATCGGTCCGAGTTGTCATTACCCCATTAGCACAACAAGATCAACACCGAATTTACAGAAGTAGTTAATTCAATGGCGGTAATATATGAAAGAAATATTGCATATCAGGACATAGTACAAGAAGGAAGAATTAGTTGGTAGGAAAAAAGATATGAAGCGATTTTAATCACATAGTTTAAAGGAACAGCATTTAGGTGTTTGTAATATATATTGTTATTATACTAAATAACTGTTATGTAACATGTATCAGTTTAAATGTCAATAATCATTTATATCTCTCTATATATAAATAGTTGAATTTCTGTTGTTCAGTCAAAACTGACATTGTGTTATTTGAAAATTACACTTTTCTCTTTTAGCTTTCTTGATGATTTGGATCGTCTTGGTGCTAAAGATTATATGCCAACCGAGCAAGATATTCTTAGAACTCGTGTTAAAACAACTGGTATCGTGGAAGTACACTTTCAATTTAAAAATATGAATTTCAAGTATGTGTATTTTGACATTAATTCTTTTTTTTTATTATTAATTAATGCATTTTTGTCCACCAGGATGCTTGGTACCTGTGTGGTGGTTGCACCACAGTCAGTCAGTCAGTCAGCTACAACGTAGGACCAGGCACATATGTGCATCGGTCCAGGTTGCCATACCGCATCAACACAACAAGATGAACACCAGATTCATAACAGTGGTTAGGTGAAAGGTGGTAATATATGAGAAAGATTGCATATAGAGATATAGTACAAGCAGGAAGAATTGGTTCGTAGAAAGAAAGATATGAAGCGATTTTAATCTCATAGTTTAAGGGAAGACAGGGAGTGTATACACCGACGCCATTGTGATCGATTCTGAGCCATGTCACCAAGAGTCTCCAACCATTGGTTACGATAGTCACGCGGACCCTAACCAAGTAGTCTGCATCTACCAACATGGCTCAGACTAGAAGTTAGTGACTTCAAGCACTGATGCCACGTTTTGGTTTGGCCGCCCCTAACTTTCTTCCAACCATTTCCAATACCGGATAGCATTGCACGTCGTGGTAATCGGTGTTCAGGCATACGTAACACGTGGCCCAACCATCTCAGTCGATGAAGATTCATAACCTCATCAACTGATTTACCATCCTTTCCTAATACCCTGCGTCTAACCTCACTATTACTTACCCGGTTATCCCAGCAGACGCCAGCAATATTTCTTAGGCATCTGTGCACCACAGGATTGAGCTGTACTATTCAGATTGTAGAGTTACAACTTATATAGTGTCTGGTTCTCATGTGAAGCGGGATTGAGCTGTACTATTTGGGCTACAAATTTTAAGCCTTAGCAGTGTGTGACTCTCCTGTTAAACGCGATTGAGCTGTATTGTTGGAGTTGTCACGTGAAAGTCTGGATGGTTTCTGGTTCTGAGAACCAATGTAAAATTACCCTGACCCACAAGGGTATATTATATGACTATGAATTAGTGGATTTTTCAGCTTCAATTTTGTCATTAATATCACTTCATTTGACTAAATTTAGTTCTGTAAGACTTTATTATTTTCTTTTCGATGAGACTATAATCTGTGAACAACCTTTGAGGGACGCTAGGGTGACTTTGAGAGTGTTCAACTAATAACTAGGACCGAATGACGGTTATAAACCAGTATGAGGAATTAGAATTTGATTTACAGTTGACGGTTAAGGTTAGGAATTAGATTAGGGGTTTTCATCACGAATCGATATTAGCTATCATGCCAAAAATTTATTTATCCAAACGGATGGATGAATTTTGCGCCGAAATCCGAGACCTGCTATCTAATATCTGATTGGTTTGTTTATATATTATAGTCTCGCCTTTTTTTCTTCTTCATTTTGAAAGATAAGAGAGGTTGAAATTTTATCTACACAACCAAATTCTACCAGTCATTAACTATGAATCTTACAGTGTAACCAGTCAGCTTATATCATTTCATATAAATAGGTATATATTTCACAGTGATTTCTTTATTTTCAGTAAATGATATTTTGATAACAAAAGTTCTTTCTTTATAGCTTGATTCATTTCATGGTAACTATTTTTTTTTAAAAATATTTTGTTCCTTTAAGCTATCATAGATCAAGAAGTTTTATTCAAAATACAAATGTTCAATTTTTATTTCAAATAGGTATTTGTTTTGGTTAGATCTATTGACTGATAGATAGATTCTTTTGTGTGTCTAAACCTTCTAACTTGGATGTTCTTTTCCAAATACGTCATAAACAATTGGATTTATTGATTTTTGATGCGTTTTCTGAAATAGGTACTTGTTGGGCATCGTCAATATTAAGAAGTTGATGCTTATTTAACGTTTGAAATTAATGTTCATGTGATCATTTCTTTGCGTACTGAGCCAACCTATCGTACTTCTCTAAACTCTCTTGTTTTCATTTTATTCCTTCATTTTCTTCTTATATACTATTATGAAGTGTGACCAATCGAACCCATAAAGTTCTCGGATTGTTAACCTCTTCTAAGTGAGATTACTAATTGCTATTGGTTTTAAAGCAAATTGTTCTTCTGTCTTTGGTCAAAATAACACATCAACCATTTTGGTAATATTTGTGTATAATTAAGTTGTTTACTTATAAGTAGTTCGGGTATTTTCAGTTTATTTTTGTTTACCCTACAGTTGAGTTTCGTGGTCATTTCACTATTCCACTAGGTTAGAATCACATGCTTAATCTTATATAACATATTTCACTTTCCTGCTAAGTTACAATTCGTTTAACAAAAATTTCCTGACTAATAATTATTTTCGACTTGTGTTTATGTGTTATATTGCCCTGTTATTTTTATCTTTGATAAAATTTAGACTTTTTGATGTGGGTGGACAACGATCGGAGCGTAAAAAATGGATCCATTGCTTTGAAGATGTGACAGCAATTATTTTCTGTGTTGCTATGAGTGAATACGATCAAGTGTTACATGAAGATGAGACAACAGTATGTCTATTGATTTTAAAATTTTTTTAGTAGATTCTCGAAATTACTAATCATTACTTTTTACTTTTGTGTATGATGTTGTATAGAACTTCTAAAATAGTCATCATGAATTTGAAAGCGTGATGGGTTTCCTTTACAAATCTATATTTTTTTAACCTGGGAATCCTAAGGCTTCTTTTTCCTAGATCCAGATCTGTATGGATTGGTTTTGTATCCGTTTATTAATTTTGTAATGGAATTGATTTATTAGGAAACATAAAATGAATTTTCTAGGTCTTTGATACTAACTAATTATTTCGATACTGACTGAGGAATTCATAAAAGACATTCACCAATGGAGTGTCACGTATCATCACAATTGATTTTTTTCTCGATATAGGATCAAAAATTTTTGACACTATACTAAGCACATCCAAAGTAGATAACACGGAGTTCGGACTTTACAATCTTGTGATTGAATTACAAGTAATTCTCTTTGATAGTGATTATGTGTACGATAGAAAAGTATAATTTTGATTGTTATTTATTTTAGTTGAACTAATGGTTAGGAAAGTAGTATTTTTTGAAATCAAATAATGTGTTTTATATGTTCAACCACTGTCCACTTTAGCGAACAATGTTATGATTTATGGAAGCGTAAGTTGGGAGAAAACTATGCTCAGGCAATTAAAGGTGTGATATCAGTCCATGAGGTCGCTGACTATCAGTCTGATCTGTGTTCGTAGGTGCAGAATACATGATTGGAGTCCGTACGGTAACCACGATCAGTGGTTGGAGACATTGGATGACATGGCTCGAATCGTTCTCACTAATAATGATGCATTCTATCTTAGTTTAGACATTAAGTTCCAATATTCCTTCATACATACCTCTTTAATTTATCGGATGGCGTTCTTTATGTTCAATTTTTTTCATTATTATTGTTACCACATTATTTCGATCTATTTTCACCTTGTTAATTTTCATTTCATCGCGCCAATATGATATGGCAACTTCGACCAACACATATTTGTGCTAGGTTTATCATTGATTATTACTGATCAACTGGACTACAACTGTTGAAATCATTATTATTTTAATTAGTAATGTGAATTTACTATCTTTCTTGGATATTCATATCAATTTACCAGTTTGATTACGTCACTTCTGATCGGCGTAGTCGTCGTTTTAGGAAGGAATGAAAGTAAATTCGATATTAATTCTGAGTAACTAATAAATCGTATAGTTAGTCTGTTGCATCTGTATTTTATGCTCTTCGAAAACACATTCCCCTTACATAAACTCCATATTTTTTATTTGTATTTCTAAATGTAGCAAGATCATCATGAATAGCTTGTAGTCACTTCGAATACCAGATTTTTAATGTATAAAAGCAAAAGAAGACAATGTTAGCGACTAGTATATAATATTGTTATTAAATACTATTGCTACTATTAATAATAAGTCAATCGTGTTTTTTTTAAATTCATGAATCGTAAACTAACTAATCAGAAAAACACTTTAAAGGTTTGATCCGAAAGACTTTCAACGCACTAATAGAATTTAGACTGCCATTCTTTTACATGTCCCAATCTTTTTTCCTCACAGAATCTTGTCAACTAATGGTAAAAATCGTGAAGATTGAAATAATTAGGCAGGAGTAGGTGTATTCACTTTTTTATGTCCCAATCCATACTACTAATAACCGGGAGGAATGTATACTACTCTATTCTCTAAGAAATTTGATCATCTGAGCTGGATGGTTTCATCATGAAGTTTTGATTATCTTTTTGGATAAAATCATCGGCAAAAAATTCAGGTAAAAGTAAGGTATTTGTAGAAACCAATGAAACCGGTTCAGTCAATCTTATACAAAGTATGAAATGACAAAAGTAGAAAAGTTAAACATCGTTTGCAAAATAAACTGTTTCAACTGCGAAAAAAACACTATCAAACAAGGTGTGATCGTCTGGATGAACACCAGCAAACTTTCAAGTGTCGTGACATATCTTTAGTTATATCAATTCATGTATATGGTTATGAACACATGTTCAACTGGGAAAATGGCGATATCTTGAATAAAGGAAATACCAAGAAGACCAGAGGTATCTTGGAAGCATCGCACTCAGTCAATCAGTAATCAATAAACATATCGAAATCAAACCAGTTTATCAACCAGTAAAACAAAATCATGGAGAACTATAAGGTCAGCAGGGATGACATTCAAAATGAATATGCATTCACTGATAGGATAATGGTCAACAACAACAACCATGAAATATTAACGTCGAAAGAATAAGTTTGCAGTCATATGTAAGAGAATTCATGTAGCTCACTTCCACCAGAATTTTCCTACCGACAATATCCAGAAGGACAATTAAAACTATAAAATTAAATCGTTCTCTATAGAGAACGAAACTCAACCAACATCATCCATTTAAGTTACAAACCTTTCTTACCACCTAATTTTATTTTTATAAAGAAAATATTTATAAACCTCAAATGGATTATTTTCACTTTTTTCGCTCAGTAGTAAATAAGTAGTATATTTGCAAGTTTGTTATTTTCCTTTTTTTATTTTCTTTTTACAGAATCGTATGCAAGAATCATTAAAATTATTCGATTCAATCTGTAATAATAAATGGTTCACTGATACAAGTATTATTTTATTTTTAAATAAGAAAGATCTATTCGAAGAGAAAATCAAACGTTCCCCATTGACCATTTGTTTCCCAGAATATCCAGGTATGTATTCTTTCTTTGGAAATTGGCTTCTATCGTATCCATACTTTTTTCTCCAATTAACTGAATAGTTTTTGATTGGGATTATGAATCGATCAATGTTAGACCACCATTGGAAATCTGAAAGTATTTGATAGTCTAGTTGAAGTAAATATATCTTTCAAACAAATAGGCTGTTGATTCAAACCACTCGAAATCTAATTCATTCCTAGCAGGGCATAATATCAAGAGTACGCGAACCTGTTATACTTGGTTTTTGTGCGATAAGTACTTATTTGTGTTGTGCTATGATGTCGTTCTACTCGATTTCAATAATGAGAGAACCTTATAGATTCCTCACAGTCAGTTAGTCAGCTACAACGTAGAACCAGGCACATATATGCATCGGTCCAAGTTGCCACATCTCATTAGCATAAAAAGATGAACACCAAATTCATAGAAATAGTTACTTCAATGATAGTCATATTATAAAAGGATGCGTATAATGATATAATAGAGGAAAAAAATTAGTTGGTCGAAAGAAAGATATGAAGCGATTTTAATCTCGTAGTTTAAAGGAAGACAGAGAGTGTATACACCTACACTACTGTGATCGATTCTGCGCCATATAACCCAGAGTCTCCAACTATTGATTACGATAGTCCCACGGACCCCAACCAAGTAGTCTGTATCTACCAACATGACTAAGACTAGAAGTTAGTAACTTTGTGGACTGATGCCACGTTTTGGTTTGGCCGCCCTTTACTTTGTTCCAACCATCTCCAACACCGGTTAGCATTGCACGTTGTGGTAATTGGTGTTCAGGCATACATAACACGTGGCCTTACCATCTCAGTCGATGAAGATTCACAACATCATCAAGTAATTTGCCGTCATTCCCTAAGACTGTGTGTCTAACTTCACTATTACTTACTCGGTGATCCCAACAGACGCCAGCAATATTTCTAAGGCATCCGTGGTCAAATACTAGTAGCTTATGAGTATCTTCTACTGTTAATGGTCAGGTTTCTCAGCCGTAAAGTAGAACAGAATGAACGGTCGCACAATATACTCGTCGTTTATTTGATCGATGGATATCTCGCCTTCACCATAGGTGACGTAAGTTAGCAAAAGCCAAACGTTTTCAGAACTACCTAAATGTGACCTCAGTTGTTTCTGGAACCTACTTTTGGTTTTCTCGTTACTCAACTCAGTTCTAATGGGCCTTTTTAGTGTGGCTTTTTTGCGTCCAATGAAGCGCAAGCAGATGCGTGCTCGTATTATGGCATGGCCGGAGTCCAAGCAGGTACTCCGGAATGAGCGACAATCTTTTACTGACCCTCTCCAACGATGACTGATGGCAATATGGTCTATTTGAGTTCACTGTTGGTTTGGTGTAGGGGGTCGCCATGTTAGACGGTGTCTCTCCTTGTGCTTAAAATTTGTTTGCTAAAAATAAACGATTGTCTGTGCACAGTTGCAGCAGACGATCACCATTATCTGTTCGCTGTGCTGGAATACTAAACTACCTACCTAAATACCTTTCTGTTTGGTTTAAACTACCTATCTGGGCATTAAAGTCACCTGCTACGAGTACTATGTCTGAGCGTTTAGCTTTCTATAAAATTCATCTTTCATTTCATCTGAGCTGCAGTCGGCAACGATGTGTATCCTTATGCTTCCGAGTTCTTACGGAGCCGTTTAGCCGAACATCACATAGATGACTGTTAACGGGGATCCACTCTAACAGTGCTTGTTCCGCCCTCATGCTTAGTGCTATGCCTACTCCTGACAGTCCACGAGAGCTGGCCATCGGGTCACCAGATACACGGAGGGTGTATCTCGTTGGCTCTTCGTTTTGCCAAGGTGAGGTCAAGTGAATGACCACACTGGAATCCTGTATGCGTGTTTCAGAGACACAGCATTCATCAATGGTACGAGATTCTAGGGTTCTAGCCAGGGAAGCCTGCCGACCGATTTGGCATAGGGTTCGTACGTTGAAAGCTCCAATGTATAGTTTGGAGCGAAGTTCCAGTAGACCTGGGACAGTGTTTTGAGCACTAGAATCGTTGGCTATGGTGATACTTGAGGAGGAAGCCGAAAGAGGAAATTTAGAGTTGAAAGTCGATGTAGGAGGAATAATAGGAATTGAAGAGGGAGGTTGATTATGAATACAGTGGTCTTGAGTGCTGTTACAAGTATGAGGGCGGTTATCACTTCTCGGTTGCCCACACCGTGGAAGGGTTGTTCTGGAGGTACCTGAAAAGGAAATTGTATTAAAGGTGGTTTTAGTGACCTGGGAGCGTGACCGCAGTGCCCAATGGACAACTGCTTGAGGTCGGTCACACACGACCTTTTTATGGGTAATTTTTGTGTTAGCTCCGTACTTGTTGAGACCTTACCGCCGGAGACGGATATCCGTGGGATGAGGTGAGGTGTACATTTTTAGGGTCGACCTTTTCTAACTCACCCCTTTTTGTGGGAAGGCAGCATCGCTGTCATGCTGGTTGTTTGAAGGAAACACCTTACTGCCGCCGTACCTCTGTACAGTCAGTACGACTTTGCCTTCGGACCTTGGGTTTGTTGCTTTTAGTCTTACCGCTCTTCAACCGATCTGTCTGACATGGTAGGATCTTGAGGAACGGTTGTTCCAGCCAGTATAGCTCGGTTGCTTCATCACGATAGGCAAGCCCGACCACCACATCAAGGTAGCACAACTAGGTGAACACCAAATTCATAGAAGCATTTACGTCTCCTGCCACGCATGGTAGTTAGAAATAAAGGAATAGTTTGTTCTCCGTGACGAGACCACAGAATAGGCCCATCGTTACTTTCTCGAGAGTTCATCCCACTTAAACTTGATAAGACACCCCATGGTGTTACAAGTGTTAGGGATGGGTCTTTTTCAATCACATCACTGACTCACCACTCAAATCTAATAAATTGGAAAACATAGATTCAACTATGATCAAGTGATTTAATGGTATAGTATGATTTATATACTTAAAATATTATTCGAAATTGTATCAATTTGACTTACTTGTCAGTTAAACACGCATTTTATTATCAATAATGCAAAAGAATAAAGGCCACTGAAAAACAAATCATAATTACTTGATGCGCTTTGAGGAAAGTTGGATGGTGGCTGGCATGTTTCGTTCAATCTGTGACTGGTCAGCTGAATTCACCTGCAACCCAGAGTTGATGTTCACTCCTGGATTCAGATCCAATATCTGTCGGTTCAAACGGAAACGTTTTATTCACTGAGCTACTAAGTTCATATTAGCAATTGGTTTGTGCAATTTAGTGCATAAGATGCACATATGCTAAAAAAAGATTGATGAATTGCAGTCCTAAACATCAATGGGAAGATTTTTAAAAAAAGTACTAATGAATTATTTAATGTACTTGTTTGAATTTTAGCAGTTCTGAGTATTTACATATTGCACATAATGCCCTGGACATTTACCTGGTGTAGGTTAGGTTTATGAGCAGGCAGATTTTTCATATGCCTGTGTTATTTGAACAGTTGTTAAATTTTATTTGGCAGACTATTAATCTGTCGGTAATGTGTCAGCAGATAAATTTTATAGTAAAGTCGTTTAACACACATTAACACAAAGTGTATCTGTGGCGTTAAGAAAAATTATGTTTCCTGAACAACTTGCAAATGGGTGTTGATTATGAGCAAACACAGTTTGTTTGTGATCTACAATTCGAATCACTTAGGAACTAACCTAAATTCATTCAAGAAATTATTTTAACTCAGAAGCCATGTACAAAAGATTTGTGTATGATAGTAATACACATTCTGTTTAATAGGCAGTACACGTCATATGTTTTTCATCAACACAAGGGGTTGATAGCCATCTTAGCTTTGATACATCTTTCAGATCTTCACAACACCCCACTGAAATGCTTGATCAACCTAAAAACGAGCTATTTTTAAATAAACTATCTCCATAAAAAACGGCGTACTCTTTCTCAATTTCACCAAAATCTTTGACAATTAGTTCACATATTTATTGGACTGGGGATGTAGTAATCTGCAAGTTGTATATAACAGTTAACACTTTCACTTTGTATTCCGATCATGATATGCCGATGATATGGTTTGAAGCTATAAGACAAATGTAACCAGATAATAAATAAAGATAACACTGTTCACTTGAAATCTCAATTATTCATCATTCATAAGTAGCCGAATTTTTGTCTTTTTTCGATGAGTGGAAGAGGAATAAATTTTCTAAACAGAAAACAATTTCCATTATATAATGTCAGTAAATCTATCAGGAAAATGATTTTTTTAAGAAAATGTTCCCATCTACATAAATCTGGCCAATTTTTTTCATTATCCCATTGATTTTGTCTGATGTGGTATCGACGCTTAACAACCATCCTTTTTTTCTTTGATACATATATAAAATAGGTAAACAAACGTATGAAGAAGCAGCCATTTATATTCAAGCGTCATTCGAAGCAAAAAACCGATCACCTAACAAAGAAATTTATTGTCATCAAACATGTGCCACTGATACAAATAATATCCAGTTTGTATTCGATGCTGTTACCGATGTGATTATAGCAAATAATCTAAAAGGATGTGGTTTGTATTAATTGACTAATTGTTTTATTTATTTGTTGGTCTGTTTATTTTCTTTGTTCTATGTTTCCTTTCTTTGTTTGATATTTGTCTATTATTATTATTATTATTGGTTGTGTTGATTTATGTATGGTTTGTTTTTGGTGCAGTTATTCATCATTCAATTGAGTGCATATCTTTCTCTTTTTTTCTCTCTCGATTACTGCTTAAGAATCATGTTGTACACTTGCATAGAACCTGTGAGCGAGTGTTAGATGGCATGTCTACAATGCAGAAAGTATTTTCACAAATAACACATTATATAATAATAATAATAATCGTACAATTATAATTCACATTCGTTTCTTATTTGTTGTGAAATACCTTTTTATCTTATTTTTTTCTTTGTGTTTTCTTTTCGGTTTTGTTCTCCCATTTGTAATCTACAAAAGAATAGTTGTATAATCGAATGCTTTTACATTTCTCTTCATTCAAATGTTAATACTTACTTTGAGATACAGATACACTTGCTTAACAATTTCATAAATAACTAGAATACACATTTTTTTTAAAATAACACATACGAGTGATGTTAGTTGATTTTATCTGTTCAATGCCTAAAATTAAATAAATCAAATGTTGAAACAGGCAAAACAATTCATTAGTAATAATAATGATGATAGTTCCATTCGACTATGTCTCTGTCTCTCTCAAACATTTTTGTATGTAAAATCTTTTTCAAATTATAGTACTTTAATCGGAAACAATGATAGAAGTAGCGGTTAGTTCAAATGATGATCAATATTTCGTATCATGTTGTTATTGTTATTGTTGTTATGGAACGAGTATAGATCAGTAATTAAATAAACTATGTGCTGCCATGTTTTGTTGCTCTTACTAAATTTATGAAATGATTATTATTTAATGCTTTCTTTTTGTATGTATGTATGTATGTATTTATGTATGCTTGTGTTTTTCTATTCATTATTTTTAACGCTTTGTGCTTTGACACAAATAATGTATTTTGAAATAAAATATATTTACAACAATACTTAAGTTTGATAAGGTGAAATAAACTATTATCTATATTGTTTCATTGTTATGTAATTCAATTCACTGAGAAGTGGAAGGGAATATGGCAAATATTTGTACTCATTCTTATTTGCATAACTTCATTTTGTCACTATTCAAATATTATGATCATATCTTTTGAGTTCATTCGTTTGTGGATAAACAAAGAAGAAAAAAAACTACTCTCTAGTGTTGGATTTTCCAATAGAAATTCAAGAAGAAAAAAAGAGACATTTTTCCATATGTGAATTAGGGAAATAAATCGATTTTTTTCTATTCATCATATTGTTTTCCATTTCGTCTTCTAATATCCTGTTTTTTCTCTCTCTCGATAGTATGTATTTTTGTGCCACACAGTTTTGTGTGTGTGTCTCTCTTTCTCCCTCCAGCGTTAATCTCTGATTGCATAATCTCATTTTGTGTTTCTTTTCTAAGTAAAACTATGGTCACCTTGTATTTTCTCTTTCATGCCTTGCCGATTTTAATTCCTCAATCTGTTATCTATTATTATTACTATACTACTGTCCATCATGACAAGGCAACATACATTCTCAATTCATAAATGTGCTTTTTTCTGCTCCATATACAACTTATTACTAGATCGACATGTGCAGATATGAATGTGTTGATACGCAGTATATATATGCACACATGCAGTAAACATTTGAATTTTACGCCTAACGCTTACATTCATGGTTGCATGTGCGCCAATGACTAAATCTATTGTATTCAATTGTAGTCTTGTCTTATAAATATAAACATTTGGTACTTAACTATGTATTTCATTTTTCTTCAGTTCTATTTTAATTCTTCTTGTCTTAATTCTTGAAGGTGTGTGTATGTAAATGCAAACTGATAAACAGGCCTGTTGGTCAAAATTGCATAAACATGTTATGCACTGCTTCATTTCATTGTTCTTTTTTCGACGAATATTATTACTGCTATTATTGCTGCTTTAATTCAAATGTATCATGTCTCTTTCAGTCGCGTATTTGGTTCGTGCGATATATTTTCCTCTAAAACATGTGTTTCGACACAGCTTTTCTCACACTTTAACTTATGTGCACCAATGGATCCTCACATAAAATAACTTCGTTCTCTGTGTGTACGTGTGAAGAATGAGGTACTTGACGATGGATGCTTTCTTTACAGAAAGCGACGGTTTTATTAACTGAATAGTTCTGCTTCATTTTTGTTAAATGTCTTCTAATGCGTTTAATCTTTTCTGGCTATTATGTATTGCTCTTTTTTCTATCTCATACTCGAAATATTTTATTTCGCGTATTACTTGTGGTGTTCACATTTTCTGACTTGCGCCCACCTCCCTCTCTTCGCTCATTCTTTTGGTCTACAATTCCCTCTTGTCAAAATTCTGTTTTGTTTGACTAAACAATATATAATTATGTATATTGTTTGCCTTTGAGATAAGACAGTGATAACAGATAGTAACTACTACTAGTGATAATAACAATAATAACAGTATCGAATAAAGTAATTTGTTTTTTGTTTCCGAATATCTGTTTGCTGTTAAATTGTATATTAGGAATGTACACATGTATGTGCATTTAATTGTCTTATTGGTGACTTGAGGTTTTGTTGAGTTAGCTACTCCCAGTCCAGACGTTTAGAACGATGGGCGGAACACTAGGGAACAGTTCAGCTGACCTTCAGCGACTCTACAACTACCCTCCATTGCCAGACAATGTGAATAGAACTTTGAAGTAGGTCCCCCAACTCTTGCTGAAATTGAGAAGACTATAGTTAATCTGAAATGAGTAAGGGCTGTTGGTCCAGAGGTCTTTAAGGATGGTGGTCCAATTTTAGCGATTAGGTTGATTAATATTTTAGCTAAGATCTGGGAGTTAGACGTTATCCCATCTGACTGGTCGCAATCACTTATCGTCCCAATATATAAGAGATGGTCAAAATCATCCTGTGACAACCACAGAGGGATTAGTTTAACAAATATAGTATCTAAAATACTAGCCTCGATAATTATCAAACGCCTAACTAAGACTCGTGAACTGCAAACACGAGAAAACCAAGCTGGCTTCAGACCTGGTCGTGGCTGCATCGACCACATATTCACCATTCGTGAGGTTCTACAACAGACATGCTTATCGAAGTCCGACAACGGTGGTGCTTCTTGACTTAAAAACAGCATTTGACTCTGTAGACCGCGAGATTCTGTGGCAGTGTCTATCATTGAAAGGCGTACCCCAGAAGTATATAAACCTTGTAAAGGCTCTTTACTCGAACACTACTAGTCGAGTCAGAGCTTATGGCAAACTGTCATCTACTTTTGCAACCTCAAGTGGTGTCCGTCAAAGCTGTCCACTTTCTCCATTTTTGTTTAACTTCATCATAGACCTACTGGTGGAAATAACATTCTCGTCGACTGAATTCTCGGGTATTGATCTCCTTCCAGGAGGTCCACTTATCGACTTAGAATACGCAGATGATATAGTCCTGTTTGGTGAAGACGCTGTTAAAATGCAGAGTCTTTGTTAGCACTAAGCAGCAATACCAGAATGTTAGGAATGCGTTTCTCTCCCTCTAAATGCAAGTTGTTGCTTCAGGACTGGTCTGTGTCAACACCTGAACTAAGGATAGGGAGTGAAATAGTCGAAAGCGTTGACAATTTCACTTATCTTGGAAGTCTGATCAGCCCTAATGGGCTGGTATCGGACGAAATCTCAGCACGGATTCGAAAAGCTCGTTTGGCTTTTGCCAACTAACGTCACCTTTGGCGAAGGCGAGATATCCATCTATCAATAAAAGGACGAGTATACTGCGCGGCAGTTCGTTCTGTTCTACTTTACGGCAGCGAAACATGGCCTTTAAGATTAGGAGACACCCGTAAGCTACTAGTATTTGACCACAGATGCCTTAGAAATATTGCTGGCGTCTGTTGGGATCACCGGGTAAGTAATAGTGAGGTTAGACTCAGGGTATTAGGTAATGATAGTAAATCAGTTGATGAGGTTGTTAATCTTCATAGACTGAGATGGTTGGGTCACGTATGCCTGAACACCGATTACCACGACGTGCAATGCTAACGGGTGTTAGAGATGGTTGGAAGAGAATTAGGGGCGGCCAAACCAAAACGTGGCATCAGCGCATTAAGACACTAACCTCTAGTCTGAGCCATGTTGGTAGATGCAGACTACTTGGTTAGGGTCCGCGTGACTTTCGTAACCGACGGTTGGAGACTCTTGGTGACGGCTCAGAATCGACCACAATGGCGTCGGTGCATACACTCCCTGTCTTCCCTCAAACTAAGAGATTAAAATCACCTCATATCTTTCTTTTTACGAACTAATTCTATATTCCGGTACTGTATCCTTATATGCAATCTTTCTCCTATATATTACCACCTTTAACCTAACCACTCCTATGAATCCGGTGTTCATCTTGCTGTGCTAATGAGGTATGGCAACCTGAACCGATGCATATATGTGCCTGGTCGCACGTTGTAGCTGACTGACTGAGTTAGCTAGCTGTAGTCTGGACCGGTTATATTTGTTCTAGACACTAAATGATTATGTATTCCATCTGTCACTTGTATTTATTGTTAGAGATGAGTATGACACCTCACGGACATCATTTATTGGGATGCTTTTTAAACTGTCAGCTTTATATTTAAACACATAGACATTGGTACAAGAAGACACCGAATACATATGCGCCACACAAACCATACGATGTGTGAGGGCTGAAATACTACCTGGGAGTCCGAACTGAAACAGCTGCTTTTCTCAGGCCACTCCCCGAACCTTTGACCTATCGACCTAATCTACAGTGGAGCAAAGTTAGGAGATGCAGTCCCGTGATAGTGGATGACCAACAAAAGGTTCATACGCATTTGTTCCCTGGGGCCCCTATACACCATTGGTTTGGGACCAGGGCCTTTCAACCCCCCTATGTTGAACCTTCGTGTCTACCAACCCGGTTAAAGCGCCAGACATCCGCTTAGAATTGTTTAATAAATTGTGGCTTGAAGGTTATCTCTATCGACATAGTATGAAATATCACTTCTTTGGTAGATAGACTTAATTCCTGCTACGAATCAGTGACCTTTGGACACTTAATGAGAGAATTGCACAATGAGAACTTACATCCAAACCAATCTAATAGTTCGACTAGATTCAACCTAACTTTTTGAGGTGAGCCATTCAGAACTCAACAATAAAGATTGTAACTCTCACTTCATATCTGTTGATCTCATATAATCTGATTTAGTCTTATTTGCTACCTAAAATACAGCCTACTTACCGGTAGAAAACCAAAGAGGTCTCGATTTTAATATCCGATGAAAAATACACACAACCGTAATGGTAAGATCCTGACTTTAAAAATGGAGTCCATTCATACTACCAAGGAAGCTCGTTACTGATAGTTGATTCAAGATCGGATCACTCATTCTCGTACTGGAGGTTTCCCTTCAGCTAATTCGTTTACCGGTAACAGGTCGTTATTTAAGACAATAATTTCACTTATTAAGTGGGTTTTAAAATACTTTCCCACTGTAAACGATCACTAATTTATGAAGTATTCCATGTATTTCGTCATAGGCTGCACTTTCTTGACCCTTCCAAAGTTAAGCTTAAGGTTTGCAAATCTCTTGACGAAAATGTTGCATCCCAAGGTATGAGTGGTTAGTATTTTAATACTTCACTTTGTTCGTGATATATTCCGGAAATTTAGTTCATCAGAATCATGCATAAGGTAATTTAGATTTTTACCCCATATGTTCATTCTTTCTCACATTATTATCTGACCTACTAGTCTGTGCCGTGGGATGAAACTTAAGGTAACACAGACAACAAAAACAACTTTTTTTACGTTTTTATCTTATTAGCAATAACTGCAATCATTTCCGACGATGGGATACTTGGCTCTTACCATTAGCAATAAACTACTGAGCGGCTTTTGGATGCAAGGTTTTTGAAAAATCTGACGATGACTGCTTTTTTATACGACTAATTAAGAAGCTGGGTGTTACCACTGGTTGTGAGCGATTGTGTGGTATCAATGTCGACCGAACAGTCACCTGACAACCTCAGCTTGTATGGGTTGCGGTCCACAAATACAGAGCACAATAGGGTATGGTGTATACGTATGAAGGCTGATAAGCATCAAGATACCCAGTGATAGTCAGAACTATTTTCATTAAGATTAGGTTGACAAATACTTTACGTTCAAGCATATTGCAGTATTTGGTCTTTGCCTGGAGATGTGGCTTCTGCAACTTAGTGATTTACATCGATGGTTTCAGACTTATAAGCACCGCACAACACTCCAAAGCGCTATCACACCTACTCCCTTACCGCTGCACAGATGGTCTGATCCCATTTACTTCATTGCCTCCAAGAGCCTGATGTATATAAATGTATCACACTACTTAATCTATTTCCTCCATTATACCATATACGGAACTCTGGCGTATTAATGAGCTTATGGGGTTGATTGATTTAACCCCGCTTACTACCTAACAAGATTTTGATGTCTGTGAAATTGCGTGCGTAACATGGTGATGTACATACCGTTTTCTCCATACTCGTACTTTTATATCTGTTATCTTACTGCATTGTTTCCGGTTTAAAACAATGTTATTATTACAGAGCTTGTCATTGGCTAATAAAACCCTATATTTACTGATGTCTTCATAAGACATAGTTACTAATGTGGGTACGCCACGGCAAACTACTTGCCATTCTATATAATCTACTTAAAACAGCTATAAAGGAAACTTTAGATTTTATTCCTCTGGAAGTTTGACGAACGAGACACTATGTCCGAGGGGCGAAAGTTGACAAATCAGACATCTTTCGCTGGAATTCAGAAACTATGGTCGAGTAATTGTTTAATCTGATGACATAAAAGCTCAAAAATTAAGACATCAGATGGACTGAACAAAGTATCAAGCTGTAAGCTCTGAGGGATGGTCATGGTAATTGATTCTTCAAAATTTAATGTACGTCAAACCTCGTTACTTTTGTAAATAACGATTCAGGTAATCGAAACTAACAACGACACTACTATGACAATTAGGAAAGATCGTAACCAGACACTTAATGTGTAATATTTGCAATGAGGTCGATAACCGTAAAAATATTCAGATGACAAGACACCAATTACTTATTGATATAGTACTCACCGCAACAGTCCCGTCCAGCAATAAATTAGATCGATTTATAAACAGGAAGTGGAACGGATCACCTAATTTATGATTATGAGGATTATAGTGACTGAACGTCTAGGTGTCAGAGAAAAAGCATAAAATGTGATTTAACACCTATAAAAAATCTAAGATGGACCACGTAATAGTTACAAATATCTTAAACTAGATATTAACTATTAATCACTAGTACCGCCTTCTGTGTGACCAAAAATGGGAAAATTTGAAATCCACTGCAGCCACAGCTATTGTGACCTGATCTATATGATTAGTATTGACAGCCCCAGTAACAGAAAGGAAAATCACTTGAGGTCGATGGCCGTAGTTGCAGCATTTCCTATACTTCAGTAAAAATCTGTCCTCCAAATAATACGATCTACACCATAATGATGTGAAAGCTACTGGGTACCACTTTGATTTCTACTGTTTCCAGAAAACCGTCGACAAAGAAATTGAGTTGGTAATTAAAATATATCTGGAGGTTGTAGATTAATTCTTAAAATATGAAAAATGTAACTTGCTTCATGGAGGATGAGACCTCTACCATAGGCTGAGGGAAACGGCATTTCTTCGCCACAAAAGTCAGGGGGTTTGTGTTGGATACTTAGGGTACTAGTGACCAAAGGCTTGGATGCGACACGTGATAATCACGGGGCGGGTATCCATGATGGAAAGCTTAACGAACTCAATGAAAAACCCGAACTGGATTCCTTGGATAACGGTATTTACAAAGGCTTGGAAGTACTGCTGAGACAATCATGACTATAATGCATGCAGCACCATACTGTCTGATTGACTTGCTGTAATCACTAGTCAATATGCAGGATTAGGAAATAAAATCACTACGAATCCCATGACGAGGTCATACTGTCTTACTTCAACTGGCAACGTTCTGCCTAAATTTGATCACAGGTTCATACGTAAACTTTTATTGCTTGAAGTTGTAATCTACTCATAGTAAGATCCGTAGAGGCATTTTTATTGTTTTGGTTGCTGGCTGGCGACCCTAGCTAATCAGTCAGTCTAATGATATGACACTGTACATATTAAGGTGAGGGCCATAAATTTAAATACACATACTACCATATAGCACAAGAACAGAAACAAGTGGGGCTGTGTTAAGTAAAATATGTGCGTTATATCCTGACGGTACAATACAAGAACAGTACTACAACGGAAAAATACTGTGAAGTCAAACTTAAGGAAATGAGATTAATAACAATAACATTTAATCCATGATAACCTGTATTATTAGTCAAACTTCTTGAAACCAATTACAGAAGCATACTGTCTAAAGCATTGTCTACACATATGTAGACCGTATTTCCGGATCAAACCATGTCGATTGGAACAAACACGACAGCATCTACTGCCTTGACCATAATTTTTCGGACGTGAGTGCCAAATGTTTTCGTGACCCATGGCTACACAGCAATTCAGCTACTTGCAGTGAATACTAGCGCCTCCAGGTGATTTTAAACAAATGGTTCAAGTGGTTCAAATGGTTGTGGACGGAGTAGAAGAAGCTTTCGCTTAACAGGCTTCCGTATCTAGTAGCAGGAGATCACGAATAACTCCAGGCAGGAACCTAGGTATGTTAATGATAAAAGAGGAAAAAGAAATTGGTAAATCATAGCAATATACTATCCTTAGACCTGAAGAATAGATCAAGTTGCCTCTTAAAGGACTTCTGGGAAGTCGCTTGGACTAGCTCGGCCGGAAGCGAATTCCAGCATTTGACAATTCCTAAGAAGTAGAAGTTGTGTCTACAGTCCGTTCTGCTATGTTGTGTTTCCAATTTCTGGGTGGTACCCCTTAAGTTGGTATTGTGACTAAGCTTAAGTAGGTGTTTAAGAAGATGTCCAGAAGTGTTAAGGATACTTTAAGCCATCAGAAGGTTACCTTTAAGACGCCTGTACTCTAATGGATAAAGGTTAGGTGAATGGAGGCGCTCTTCATAAGGTTTAAATTTGAGTCCTCGAACTGACTTTGTGGCTTGCCGTTGGGTACGCTCCAGAGTGTCCTTATCCTTTTGGAGTGAGGGACAAAATACTAATCCAAATGGGGACGGATAAAACTGTTGAAGATTATAAGGAAAAATCTTCCGTCAAACTGGCCAAAAATGCGCTTCAATGTTACCAGTGCAAGGTTTGCTCGAAAGGCATTTTTGTCACAGTTAGCATAAGACTTTAAATCGTAGGGCACCAGAACTCCTAAATCTTTTTTGAGTTGAGATACTACTATAGAAGAGTTTCCTAAGTTGTACCTATAGTCTGCGACGTGTCGCAGATGAACTACTTTACACTTTGAAGTGCTAAAGGTAAGTCCGTTATCGTCTGCCCAACTTTGAAGTCGAGTCAGATCCTCCTGAATTGCCTGTATATCGTCATGGCCGCGTATCTCTTTCTTTAAAGTCTCACGTCATCAGCAAAATGTAATATATCCGACGTTACCTGTTGTGGAAGATCATTTATGTAGATCAAGGGGAGAAGAGATCCTAGTACTGAGCCCTGGGGGATCACACTAGGACATTCCATAGCCTGAGATAAAGTGAAGTTGAGGCTGCTTCCCTCAGTATATCAGAATGAACCATATCTGGGCCAGGAGAAATGTATTTTCCTAGGTGCTGTAGTTTTTGGAACACCAAGTCAGCGCTCAGGTTCACTATTTAAAGTCCTGTGCCGTTGCAGATGAAGCTGTCCTCAGTATAGTTGATGTGGGTCGGTTGAAATGTTCGAGAGTATTGTTCAGCCAAAAGGTTAGCGGCGTCGCCGCCGTTATTGGTCGGGCCGTTACGACCTAGCAGCTGGGAAACTCCAGTTTTGGCTTGACGAAGAGTGGCTGCCTAACGGAATAAGCTTTTCGGATTGGAGGCAAATTTATCTATAAGCTTTATCTGGTACTGAAGCTTGTCTTCTCTTATAGCCGTTGTGCTTATGATCCTCATATGTTTGTATTGCCTGTACGCTCCATCGTTGTCAGTTCGTTTGTATTCTGCCCAACAGTGCCTTTCGCGACTTAACAGGCGAAGAGTGTGGTTCTTGATTACTGTTGGTTGTTTGTAGCTATTGAGGACCGTTTGAGGAACTGACTGCTTTGTAGCAAATGAGAGCGTGTGCAGTAAGAAGTCCCATTGAGTATCCACACTGAGTTGAGAGTGAACATCTCAATCCACCTGTTGTAGATAGTCCTGTAGAGCTGACACATTCAATCGTTTGAAATTCCAGCGCATGTTGTTGGTGGGAAATCTTAGATCAACTTTGCTGACAAAACTGAAGGCTATAATGGCGTGACTGCTTTTCCCCAGAGGTGCCATGATTGAGAGGTTGTCAACTAGAAATTCTTCGTTTGTAAATACACAGTCTAAGCGCGGCGGTGTCTGACTGTTTCTCCTACGAGTTGCCGACTTCATATTTTCGTATAATCCCAAATCTTCAATGAGTTTGAAGAACCGAGCTTCAGTTGAGTTTTCACCTCCAATATACGTATGTTCCGCGAAATTGACTCTAGGGAGATCGAAGTCCACTAGAATCAGGATATGAGTGAAACCGAGATGTGTAGAGCGGGACAGTCCTTCCAGCATACGACTGTCATATTCGATATCGGCAGTGGGCTTCCTATATATGACTCCGACTAGGCACCTCGAAGTAGTAGACAATCTTACAGAGCACCATTTGGACTCCTCAAGATTGTTAAACTCGAGGTGCGCCTCCAAGTAAGACTGTGTATATACTGCTACTCCAATCTCAATTCCTGTTTTTCTATCGTTGAGAAACAAATACATCCCAGGTACTGCTAGCTCCTGAGAAGACACTCAAGATTCTGATATTCTTATCTGATGAGCATTAGTAGCATTGCTAAGCTCACGTAGCTCATCCATTTTGTTTGGTAGACTCGCGGCGTTCATGTATAAGCAGTTTATGCTTTCAATTTGAAACGCGTGAGCTTTGTCCTGTTTGTCTGTGTCAGCCTTACGTGAATGGACAGGTAGCCTACCTGTATAAGGTTTGCCGAGTTGGTAGGCTCTGTCCTCTACATATTTTTTATCATCGAGACAGTCCACAAGTGGAGTAATCAGCCCCGACTTGCCTTTGTGCTTGGTCCTGGTTTCATATAGCCTGTCAGAATGCATGTGGATTCCAGTTGGCAACGGGCGTCTGTTCTTATAAAATGCTCCCAGAGTTGCAGCCGCCATATGGGAGGATGGGAGAGTTATGCTCATTAGCCGGGGTCTAGAATCACCGTTCTTCTCCGCTATTCTCGTCACATGTTGGGTCAGTACGTTTTTGAGCCTCAAGGACTGTTTGATGAATTTGCATTCCCTAATATCAGGGTTTACTTGACTAGAGTCCATGTTTTCCGACACACCTTGCACAATTATATTTCTTCTGCGGAAAAACTTCTCGCGAGATTCTTTAGGGATGTTCCAGATGAGATTGCGTTCAGAATACGGTATGTGTGGCAGTGTTCTTACGTTCCCATCGGATTTCAGTAAATGACTAGCTAACAGGACATCATCTACTTTGGTAGCATTCTTAAGTGTTACACGAAGTAGCCTTGGGTGATTTTGACGCTTAGATTCCTTTCCCGTGTGACCGTCAAAGGCTCTATTCTAGGAAGTTCAAGTTTCTTGTTCAATTCACCCCAGAACATCCTGTCATTTTGTTCTGCAAACTGAGAGGAAGGTCAGGGTTGTCCTTGAGGTTTATGATAATGAGAGAGTCATCACGAACAAGACCAATTATCCAATCAGTTTTCACGAGCAAGAAAGTGGGCTGATTGACCTATGTTGGCTCATTCAGCGGTCATTTGCAAAGAAATTATTTTTATTAGTTATTCTAAATAGTCAGGTATAGATAATTTTGTCTTCAATCCGAAAAGCTCATTCTATTGTGCAGCCCCTCTTCAACATGCTAGAATCGGAGTTTCCTAATTGCTAGACCCTAATGACTCAACCGACAATGACTGTGACTCTACCGACCTCCTAGGAGAACGACACTTTCAGACATTTCGACCGTCTCGTGCTAACTTCATCGACGAGAACTTTACCAGCAACTCCAAGGGACTCCCATAAGTGAACCTGAAAGCTGACTTGATTTTTCAGAAATTCAAGCATATGAACAAGAACACTTCTATCCAGAATATGGTTCATTATTCTATACTGAGGGATGCGGCTCTGATACTAACAAAACCACTTAGCATAATGTTCTCATATTCCTAAAGCCGAGGTACGGTACTAGAAAATTGGAAACTGGATTACATTACACCAGTTCCTAAAGGAAGCCAACGTAGCAAACCTTTCAGCTACTGGCCGGTAGCGTTTTCCTAAACATCCTCAAAAATTGTGGAGTCCCTGATGACCAACCTTCTATGTGACTACATGCTATCCATTAGCTTCTTTTCACTCAAACGTCACGGTTTCATGAAGAGCCATTCTTGTGTAAACAAACTGCTGACCGCGGCAGAAAAACAGACAGGCAATCTCGTTTACAAGGGGAAGGTTGATGTTATATACCTTGACTTCTCGGAAGATAATGATAGGGTCAATCATAGATGTCTTATAAACAAGCTTAAACCAAGATGTGTCCAGCCGCCATTAATTGATTGGCCTACTTCACGTCTAGATAATCGACTTTCTGAGGCCAGGGTAAAGTTTAGTTTTTCTCAGGCTACGGATTGTCCTTGTAGGGTCCTTCAGGGTTCATAACTGGGACTCCTTCTTTTCTTAATTTATATAAACAACCTTCTTCAGCAAGTACTGTCGGGTTTATTACTGTTTGCTGATGATGTGGTCTTAAGTCTTACGCTAATGGAAACAAAAATATCTACCGAGAAAATCTTGCTCTGGTAATACTGAGATACATTATTGGTCATTTTGACGGTGGACCTTCCCTTTAATATTCAACAGTTTCATTAAACCCCATTTAGAGCATAGAAATACGGTGTTTCCTCCCTCATGCTTAAAGGATGAGAATGCATTCGAATGCTAATTGCTGCCTTCTTGTTCTTCCTTTCTTTAATCTTGTCCAGTGTTTCTATGGAGATCCACCCCTTATGATGGTGTTTCTTTAGGCCCAGAACCTCTTGACACATTGAAGTTAAAGCTTCTTTGATGCCTTTCCAGTTGTCCTCCGTAGTAGTTTCTTCTTCATTCAGCAGATGCTGTAAGACTTGAAACCTGTTGTTGAGAGCTATCTTGAATTCATTCAGTCTGTCAGTATCTCGAAGGAAGACTTTACTAAACATTTGTATTGCTGTTTGTCCAGTTGTCCAGTTCTTCTTTAGCTTCAGTTTTAAATTGGCCACGACTAGATGGTGACCTGAAGCTATGTCTGCTCCTCTCCTGGTTCTCATATCGCCCATTGTCCTTCGGAATTTTTTATTGATGCAGATATGGTCTATCTGGTTCTCTGTAGTGTGGTCCAGTGAGATCCATATAGCCTCGTGTGGAAATATTGTGCCTCCTATGGCCAATTTGTTGAATTCACATAGATTTGCAAATCTTTCTCCATTTTCGTTTCTCTCTCCCAGTCCATGTCGTCCCATGATATCTTGATATCCATTGTTGTCTACTCCGACTTTGACGTTTAGATCTCCCATTAGAATGGTGAGGTCCTTTCTTGCGCACTTCTCTATGATTCATTGCAGTCTATCATAGGACTAATCTTTATTGTCGTCATTGTTATCATTGATGGGTGCATAGAATTGGATAATATTCATTGTGATTCCCTTCTCTGTTTTAAATGATGCTTTGATGATTCTGGATTCGTGAGATTCCCATCCTACAAGTGCATTTCGTGCTACTTTGGACAGCGTTAGAGCAACTTCCTGAGTGTGTGAAGCATTTTCATCTTCGTGACCGGAGTAAAAAAGCATCTCTCCCGTATCTATCCTTTGCTGTCCAGCTTGTGTCAAATGCTTTTCGCTGATTACCAGTACTGCCAAGTTGTCTCCTTTCATTTCCGTTACTATTTGACTGGTCTCCCGGGCTCCGAAATTATCTAGACGTTCCATGTACCTATAAAAGTTGTTGCTCTGCTTGTTATAAGAAGCATAGGTCCCGTGACTTCCGAAGGAACTTGACATACTCTATGAAGCGCCGCAACTCTTCCAAATGGTTCAAATGGTTGTGGACGGAATAGAAGAAGCTTTCGCTTAACAGGCTTCCGTGTCTAGTAGCAGTAAATCACCAAATCCTCCAGGCAGGAACGCTCAAACTCAGATTGGTAACCGATTTTGCTGAGCAAGTTTTGCCAAGTCAAAGAGCAACCTTGATTCACTGTGTGACTGTTAACCTTTTGACTGTTTGCTTGGAAGGATTGCTGTAATGCCTGCAGATGGATATTTGATCCCATCTTGTTGGGAATATTTTTATTGATTCTTAGGTATTGAACCATTTGGTATTAACTGTTTCTTTTATTAGCAAAGATGGATAGTGGCTAGCATTGGAATCCAGGACCCGCGTTTCGCCCTGTTTGGTACTCGTCAGCTGGATGTACCTGCGAACGGTACTGAGTTCGAGTCCCAGAGTGAACATCGACTCCGAGATACAGGTACATTCAGCTGACGAGTCCCAAACAGGACGAAACGCGAGTTCTGGATTCCAATGCTAGCCACTATCCATCTTTGCTTATAATGCTTGTAAATTAAGGCAATATCGAGGCATACGCACAGTATGCAAATATGCCAATATGAGACTGATCAATTTCAGTCCAAAACATCAATGGGAAGATTCAAGTAGAACAATATCAAGTGTTTCTTTTATTGTTTAGCGCGCTACTTCAGACTGTATAGCACAGGCCATACCGTTTGAGGTATTTTGAATTTCTGATCTAATTTGTTCTATTTCCTAAATTAGAACCGTTTAAATTAAGCACGAAGTTTGTGTTTTGATATAAGATAATACGAGTGTCTCAAAAACGCTTTGTAAGCTATACAGAAGAACGTCGTCCAGCCTAGTCGAATAAATCTTGGTTCATCAGTCTTGCGTTCAAACCGAATACCGGCAATTCAGTTGTTACAGCCATTTTGATTATTCTTTCCAGTATTTTAACGATGACACTGATAAAGCCGACAGGTCTGTAATGTAATGGAATTTATCTTGGTCCTCTTTTGTGCATTGGAGTGACGATTGCATCCTTCAATTCTGTAAATAACACACGTTGATAAAGTGACACATTGAATATCACAGTCGTTGGGTTTGCGATGTATCTTGAAGTTTGTCTCAGGATTTAGCGGTGTAGTTCTTCCGGCCCCGTTGGCTTTTCTGTGACTAAAGTACTGAGAGACTTGAGTCCATTGTCACAATCAAAGTTCATAGCGATCAGCCATTTTCGCGAATTTATATTTGAACTTTGTTCTTCAACTAGATGATACACCTGAATAAAAACTGTCCTGAAGTAGCTTCGCATGGCCTCTTTTTTTCAGATCATCCCGTCATTTCTGGTACACTCCATTCCTTAGTTGGAACAGGAATAAAATGATGCATTCTTGAGATGGTGGAGAAGGTTTGTAGCTCAGGTGGATGATTTTGGTGGAGTTTTGTTCTCTAAGCTGGATGATTTGGTCGTGGAGCTTTCATCTTTCTTCTGAACGACATCATCAGCACAAACTTCAGATAGAAGTGAAGTGTTTGAATTTCTCCATATGTGTCTCAAAGCTTGTTCTGTGCACCTCGACGTTGATTGGTTCTTACTGACCTTAAATTTGTCGTTGTTTACTTCTTTGTTTTAGTTGTGTCTCCCAGTGTTTTGATTTTTGTTCTTATGTTTGTGCATTATTTTTGTGATTGGTTGATAAATTGGATTGATTTCAATATGCTTGTTGATTGCTGATTGACCTGAGTGCCAGGCTTCTAAAAATTCTCTGGTGTTTTTGCAGTTTCCTCCGTCTAAGATTTCCACATTTTTCCAATCGAATGAGTGTCCGCAGTTGTCCACGTGTATTGATATAAGTGAGGAGATATCATGCCGTTTGACTGCTAATTGATGTTCATTTAGGCGCAGGTGAAGGGGGCATCGGCTTTGTCCGATGTAGTGTTTTTCGCAGTCGGCACAATTTATTTTGTAGATGATGTTTAATTTGTTTTCCTTTGTTACAAAGGAACATCGAAACAATCACAAAAATAATGCACAAACATAAGAACAAAAATCAAAACAATGGGAGACACAACTAAAACAAAGAAGTAAACAACGACAAATTTAAGGTCAGTAAGAACCAATCAACGTCGAGGTGCACAGAACAAGCTTTGAGACACATATGGAGAAATTCAAACACTTCACTTCTATCTGAAGTTTGTGCTGATGATGTCGTTCAGAAGAAAGATGAAAGCTCCACGACCAAATCATCCAGCTCAGAGAACAAAACTCCACCAAAATGATGCATTCTTGTTCTGCGTTTTTTTGTACCAGAACATTCTCTTAAACTGTTCGATTACAGGTTTGATAAGCCCAAAGATACCACAGAAACTCGGAGTTTGACAACGTCTTAACCAGTAACGCTTTTTATAATTGAAATGTGGCAACCCAATTAGGTACGAAGTTAGAAGCAAAGAGATCCAAAGATATATTTAGTAGACTATCAATATATTGAGATGTGATGAATCTAAGCTGGCTAGTGGTTGTAGGAGATGTGGAGCACGGCGTGTCCACTCGTGACATGTGGATGCGTGACAAATCAAATATCATCCACAAAATAAATTGTGCCAACTGCGGAAAACAATACATCGGACAAGGCGGACGCCCTCTTAACCTTCGCCTACATGAATATCAATTAGCAGTCAAACGCCATGACATTTTCTCACTTATATCAATGCACGTGGACAACTAAGGACACTCATTTGACTGGAAAAATGTGGAACTCTTGGATGAAGGAAATTCCAAAACTACAGAGAATGTTTTGAAGCCTAGCACTCACGTCAATCAACAATCAACAAACACACTGAAATCGATCCAATTTATCAATCAATCAGGAAAATTATGCATAAACATAAGAACAAAAATTCAAAAAAATTGGAGACACGAATAAAACAAAGAAGTAAACAATGACAAATATAGAGTCAGCGAGAACCAATTAAGTTCGAGGTTTACAGAACAAGCTGTGTACCACATGTAGAGAAATTCGAACGCTTTACTTCTATCTGAAGTTTGTGCTGATGACGTCGTTCAGAAGAACGATGAAAGCCCCACGACAAATCCATTGAACTCAGAGAACAAAACTCCATCAAAATTATTCACCTGAACTAGAAATCTTCTTCACCTTTTCACGAAGGTGATCAACTCTGAAGCATTGCAGCGTCGTAGTAAATGAATTCTTCCTAATCAAACTTAAACCCTGCTCAAACAGGTTTAAAAGCTATACATCAGGTGACTCGAATGCACCGTCTGCGAGTTAAGGAAACTTAGATGTTGGGTCATCAAGAACATCATTTGGTTATAAGTTGGTGGAAATCACATTAGCGGTAAATAAATCCTCAAAATCAATAGCTTTGTAAGTCTTCGATATTTGATGAAAACCGCATTAATTATAATGGACTCACCTGGCTAAAAGCTCACGGTTTTAATAGGATTGGTTGTAGTGATTTTGTCAGTGTGTGTGCAAAACTTACTCCGGAGGTTTTCAGCAGTCTCGCTGTGGCTTGTAATATGTCTTTTATGCATGGTAGGGTGATCCTTTTGTTGATTTCTGTGCTTGTCTTGGATTCTGTGATGGGTGTGGCTGGTCTCTTTTGGTGAAGTTGATTGGGTAGCCATTCTTTTGGAATGCGTCCTTCAGGTATTTCTCTTCATTTTTTCGTGCTGCCAGTGTGCTGCAATGTGTCCTCGCCCTCTTGAACAAAGCATGTACGCAATTAATTTTGTGAGCTCACAAAATTTTAAGTGATACTGAGGAGTGTTTAGAATACCTTATATAACCAAAAAATCAATTTCAGGGGGTGGTCATGGCTTAGTGCATTAAGATTCAGTGGATCGATACGCTCTTCCTCGGGTTCGAGTACGAGTCTTCGAAATGATTTTTGGCTTTGTAGAAGTTCCAGTGTTTTCTTATTCTTTTGGAATAAGAGAGAAAACACTATTTTTCCATGGAATTCTAATGCCGACTACTTGTTGGAGATTAAGCATCTCATAGAGTATTTAAATGTGATCAGGTACGGATGACTGTCTACTGAGCGCTTTCATCCAGTCATGTCTAGTGAAACTAAAATGCTCGTAAACAATGTTGAGGACCTGCAAGGTTACGTACTTTGAAAAATTAACTGCGTAACCAGTGCTCATTCTAGTGATAAAGAAGTGATAAATTTGAGCTTCGTCTCCCTGACGTACTTGTTTTTGTGAACCAACGTCAAGGTTAAATTTTAGGTGGCTTCGGCTTTCTTACACCGCTCTTTACTAATTGTGACGGTATGTGTGCTTTTTCCTTATTATTACCCAGCTGATGTATATTCAGCTTCTATGAATATTTTCGGTGGTACCTTTTCAAAGGAAATTTTGTATTTGGAGTCAATATATACATTTCGTAGACAAATGTTTCGTTTTGTTAATTATATACAAAATGTTGATTTGCTGCAACAAATCATGACATGTCGAATCTCAATTTCTGGCTACTAAACAAGTTTAATTTAGAACTCATACGCCTCCATAATACATTTTCACCTAAATAACTAAGAGTACTGGGTTTAATCAAAGGCGTTGTGGCAATTGTTTATAGTTTTCCTTTCGTCATTCTTAGAGCTCTTGTTTACACTATTTCATTGTTTATCTTACTTCTCGACACAAATGGATATGCCGTGTTTTCATACTTTGTACAAACTCAAAGTTTCAACATCAAACTTCCTACTGCCGTACTAAGTTTTATTTCACTTCAACCTACCTTGTGAATAAAGCACTGAGTATTTTAATGTTGGTGTTTACAGGTCTACACGAACTAAATTTATACCGTAGTCTAATGTACCGGTTTTGGGGTCATCAGAGTTATTCTCCTATTCCCTATTACATACTTTGTTAAGTGATTTTAGAGTTTTCTTCATTGGGCTTGTTCAGGTTGTCGAAGTTTGTAGTGTTTTACAGCTACTAACAGTAAGCTCTTTTCGTAATACATGTTAAAGAAATTTATTTTCATCAGTAAACTGACTCAATTCCACTGGGCCCAGTTATGTATCCTATCAAACCTGTATTAAACTACATATGTACCTTGTAACCAATCCAGATAATGCTAGAAAATTCCTATCAATACTTCATATTGTCTGAATATCTTTGATGCACCATTTTGTTGTTCAACCCAAGAAAATAACACGACGTCTGCATGGCGAAATAACCCACTTATCTTCTTTTATTTTCATAGCCTACATATGAGTATGGATTGCCCTGCCGTGAATTTCCATGGCATTGAACTACAATCTCACGAGAAAGGGGATAGTAAACAGAATTCTTTTTGTGCCCTCCGAACCCCTTCCAATCTAGAGGTGAGCTAAATTTGGCCATTTGGATATATATATTTCTGATTGCACAAATTTTCACTGTCAATATGAAATAGTATTTTTTTAAAGATTATATCATAACTGAACATGCATCTAAACTTATTCAACGTATTACGTTCACGTCTTCATTGCAAATCATTTTATTTTGGCTAAATAGTACAGATGCATGGTTTTGTTTATAGAGGCTGGTATCCAACATGTCAGTGTGACTGACTGCATAGTGGCTTGTTATACCAACCGTTATGCCCTATCATTCTTTGTCTTCCCTTAAATTCCAAGTTCCAATATGATTGCAGATTTTAGGCTTAGTATCCTTCCAAAACTTTCTGTGATTAATAATTAGGTATTTCTTCGACCTGCAGTATTGGTTTTCGTAAGACAGTTTGAATAACGTGCGGATGGTCAAAGGAATAAATAACATCAGTCCGTCAATTTTAACCATCATATTGAAATACTTAGTTGGATCATGTCTATCTGGTTAGGTTCTATACGAGAATCGTGATTAACAGTGAAAGACCTGTGATATGATTCAATATCGGTCGTAGTAGCGTATCTGCATCCATTCTGTTTTTTCCCGTACCTCGAATTTCAATATAGTTTCATACTTTTCACTCCACGAAGTCGTTCCTTCTTGTTGAGCGATATATTAGATTTAGCCTTCGTCACAATCATGGACAGTGCCATTACTTCAACTTATTTGCCATGTATCTTGTTCCTTTCGTCTTAGTTTACTGATATGGTGTAAAAACTTTGATCAGTTCTTATTTATGTTAAGTTTCATGTGAATTACGACATAGTGATTGATTTTAGTTGAGATTTTACTGTATTTATTATTATTAGCTTTATTCAATATTATATTTTTGGTACAATTTAGAATTCTCAGCTTAAAGCATTTCAGCGAGTTTCCATTTCTTATTTCTTGATCGATCCCGACGATAAATATTGAGTGATCGTCAGTCAATCAGTCAGCTACAACGTAGGACCAGGCACATATATGCATCGGTCCAAGTTGCCATACCTCATTATTGAGTGGTCACCAATTAGATGTTGGCAGTTCAGGAGTCGACATCTAAATAATGCACATTCTTTTCGATGTATATTGCCAGCAACCACAATGTCTCCGATTGTACTTTTCTGTAACTTGTACAACGAAAGATTTTAAAGGTTTCACAAACGCACATGAACAGGTTGTGCAGTTTATTGACATATTAATCTATGGAAACAAATAAAAGACAGATAACGTGTTAAAATATCTAGATGGCAGGAATAGGCAGTCCAGATATTCAAGCAGACCGCTTAATAGCTTATAGAATTAAAGTATTCTTAATATATTGAGGGTTAAGATTCCTTAATAACTTTCTAAGCACGTCTTATCACCTGACCGCATCTTCATTGTAAGTTTATGATGCAAGTTTTTAGCCATTTAGTGTCCCAATCACTAGGGTACAGGTTCAAATAAATTTGTAGACGACCAAATGGGTTGCTTAGATATGTTAATCTATATGGGGATTAAGTTACTCATCAATTATGTATATAAAATCTAAGCACTAAGATCTCATTTTTTCTTTCGAATGATATCACTTGTAAATTAGTTCATCGACTGCTTTATTTATTTTATTATACCTTGAAAACCTTTCAACTGATAGGAACATGAGATACTCACTTCTTCTGGTTTATACCAACGGGTTTACGTTCAACCTAATAAGAATAAAACTGCAATTATCACTTATCATGATATTGGAACTAATCGTAAGTACATGAGTTCAAAGAAACATTATACTAGCACATGTGCACATGTATTATTATTATTATTATTATTATTATTATTATTGTTATTATTATTACTATGGCAAAACTACCATACCGACTGCTTTAAGCGACCAATCAAAACCAAGCTAATCTTTTCGAAATACTAGCTCGAATTCAATAGGCATTTTTAGACAGCTTGTTATTGGAAAAGTTGATTTTGATAGTCGCATTTTGAAAGCATTGGATGATGTTTTTTCTGGAATAAACTATTAAGGTTAATGTATTAGGCTTAATAGTTAGGTTTCAGAATTACTAGATTTGTAAGTTATTCGGACTACGGTGCTATTGTTTCTGGCCTGATTTATTGATAGTTAGCCCTAGGGTCTTAGTCCTCTATGTTTTAGATTGCTTTCACAAAAGCTGTGTTCTGAGTGGCTGTTTTCTGGTTGGTCAATGTCAAAATCAGCCTTAAATTTTTTCAATGCCGTTAGTATACTATGGTCCTACCATTATTATTCTTGTTTCCTAAAACCGATATCTTAAATATTTTTTGGCAACGTATTGACTCCATCAGGAATGATGATGGAATGAGCGATGAGTGAGCCATGAACATAATTTCTAGGTTTAGTTTCATATATTTTACGGTAGTAACAAAGAACCGAATACGAATCAAGTTGGTAGCACTTATTCCAGGCATTCTTTGATGCAGACAAACAATGAGAGACGTGAAGCAGAAAAAGCAGGCGTACCAACTCAATTTAATTAAATGATGACTCAGCATTTATGAATATGGAAGATATGAGCAAGTTTATAAATACACACATACTATAATAAACCATCTCAGGGTCATATGTGTAAGTGAAAGAATGATCGGAAAGATCACGGTAGTTCATCTTTCTAAAGGTAAGTATAAGTTGCGTAAGCATGTGACAATAATGCGACCAAATTATACTACACTGACAACCTTGGGCAACTCATCGGATAATCAGAAAACAGTACCTAGTCATGAAGCAATTAACAATAGAAAGCAATAAAACTACAGTTGAGGGATGGTTTCGATATGGTGGTCCCTTGTATCATAGAGGGAAGTAGTTAGATTTACATGAAAGGAGTCAGGCTAGTGTTGTGAGTTGGGTTTATAACACCATAGAGTTTTCGTCATCAGCTAACATTAACTACAACGCAAAAAGTTCATCGGTGTCGATTGAAATCAGTTATAATGCCACGACTATTTGTCGCCCGTTTTTTACAAACTTAGCAATCTTGAGATTGAGATTCAAGAGTTTGAATGTAAAAATGTTAGTTAGCTACATAAATACTAGTGACTATGTACTGAATCACAGGAAGTACTTTAAAACACAATCTGGATTATGAGCAGGTATTTTTTTGTAGTCTAGTCCAAACACCATGTCATATTCACTATGTGGTTGGGTGGTAGATATCTTAGAAGGGAAAATAAAGTTTGAAACATATTAGTAATCAAAAATTTTCAATTTTCATTTAATTGACATAAAATGCAAAATATCTAACACTGGGTTTTTAATTTCGTACAAAGATATACAAAACTCTATCTCAATTTTGCCTGATTCACTCAAGGGCATCAGTATAGTATACTTTTACCAGTAATACTAACTGCTACATTTTCATGTTTCATTGTGAAAATTGAGTTATTGATCCTATTCGACAAGATTTATTTATTGTTCATGATCACTTTTTTTGGATGACATGAAAAAATTATCTGTTCAGTATGGTTTTTACTTTGTTTATTTTATTGTTATTGTTTCAAACAAGATACAATTTGCTAATCAATATTTAAAGGATGTGTCAGGATCATTCCCATCATATGTGTCTCATGTAGATTCGTTAGATTTTTGAGTATCTAGGTTGAAAGCAGTATATGATAATACTGTCTCTATGCAATATTCTCCAGGAGCAAACTAGCCTCCAAATGCCTTGGTATGGCCGAGAGTAGAGAGGGTCATCTCTCCCTCTCGAGATGCTCTCACATGGCCGCGTGCATACAACCACTGACAGGGAAGTCCTACTCACTGCCTTCTCGCCAAGGGGGTGTTGTTTACAAAATGTAGAGGACGAAAAGAGAATGTCCGGTGCTTTAACCGGGTTAGTGGACATGGAGAGTCCACCTATGAGAGCTGTAAAACCCTGATTTCAAACCAATGGTGTATATAGGCTCCAGTATCCTGAGGGGACAAATGGAGTATGAACCAATTGTTGATCACCGGCTATCATAGGACTGCATCCTCTTACGTTGCTCCACTGCCTTGTGGATTAGACCTTTATGTCGAAGGCTCCGGATGTGGCCCTCTGAGAAAACCACCTGCTTCGGTTTGGGCACTTGGGCAGTATCCCAGCACACACACAAATTGAATGATTTATGTGGCGCATATCTGTTTGGTACCTCCTTGTACCAATGTTTATGTGTTAAAATAAATAAATAGATAGATAAATAAATAAGGAGCAAACTAAAATGATATCTCACTCTAAAATAACACTAAAGTTTTGTATTTTCATATTCATCGTAGTATTGTTTAATACTATTCATTTGTAGAACAAGTGGTCGCCTTATTGATGTTTAAAGCAATCAGATTTCGGCAAAATCCTAACAGGTTATAAATGTACTCTGTTTAATTCAATTTAAGAAATTCAAGTTGTGTTATCAGGGATTTACACAAAAAGTCTTACAGAAAATTAAAACGATATTATACTTGGTTGTTAAATAGAGATTGATGATCTATAAAGCTCTGTATACTAAAGTTTAGCACTTATGTAAACGGATTGCAGGAAATTTATAGTCAAATGGCATCCAAGTTATTGGAATAGTTTGGGGTGGAGGACATTTCACTTGTTATAACGATTGATTATACTTATTTAAATCATGTGAACCACAGCATATTAGTAACAACACAGAACTGTGGTTGGCGAATGATGACTTTTGTTTATATTAGTACATCGGTAGGGATCTGGATTTCTTGTTTTTATCTACTTTTATCATATTGATGTTGTTTTAATTAAAATGAATCTATATCATGGATGTGTTTGATTATTTACTTCTTTCAATATTTCCTCGACATTTCATAACGACATTTTTCGATAATAGTTCCAACTCACTTTACATTTATTTGAGTCAATCAATTTATGACATTCTTCAGTAGCGTCTAATAAGATCATTTATATTTTCTTGTTATGAAGTAGTTAAATTGAAATCGTCAATTTAGTTAGTTCTTGTAGAACTAATAAATAAAAACTTTTGTTTTGATCAATATTTATACGACGTTACTGGTGGAATATGTTATTGATTATTTCTATGAAAACTTCTATTGGGAATTTAGAGAAAAACATTATGAAAAATTAGATCAATACTTGGATTAAAATACACCAAAATGTGATATGTTACTTTGTGTGTTGTAATGAATATTGTTTTTGTCCCTATTTTTGAACAGTCTAGTGACTCCTTTCTTGCTCTCGCGCTCACTCAATTTAGTTCTATGTCATGACTACTAATGCATTTCTTGAGTGAAATATTTTAAAACTCATCTGAAGATTATTAAGAATTTTCACTTCTATCAATAAGATAATGTATACAATGTGAATGGTTTATTGAACTAAATGCTGTCTAGTCTTTTACTTATGAATAAGTGGGATCGGTACATATTCATACAATAGACTGCAAGTTGAATTTCCTATGTGCCATATGCTATCCAACCACAAAAAATGAATTGTGTAATCGATTTGAAATTCTTTACTGAATAGTTACTGTACAATAAACATTTGAGATACTAAATTCCTACCTGATTCAACTTTCAACAGTTGATCACTAAACGTGGGAACAGAGAGTGGAAATATGAGAGAAGCTTCACTTTGAAAGTTTGATTTATGTTCAGAGAACAAAGAGTATTCATTTGTTTAGATGTAATCTTTGGGCTTGAAAGGCCGGCGTAACAGTTATTTAATGGGTTATAAATTCAACAATTGATTGATCAAATTAAAATTAGAAATTGAGCTGCCTTCTGAGAAGTTTTGAAAAATGCTTCAAACGAATTTACCGCTGAATAAACCAACAAAAATCTAGGTTTTTAGTTTGTTAACTGTCTGGATTGTCTTTCATTCTTTCTCATTATAAGTTATATAGAATTATTTCGTTAAGTAGTTTGTAGTAATTCAGTCACTTTGGTAATCATTCTTATCTTGTAATAACAACTGGAGGATCATTTAAAAGTGAGTTTCATGCTAGTTTTATGTGAGATGAATGTTTAACAGCTTATATTGAAAAAACCCTAACTCCTTAGATTTCATTTTAAACATAGTTATATTCAGTCATTCATTGAATTGAAATTGATTTAACTCAAACAGTCAGTTAGTAACAACGTAGAACATCAGTTTGAGTTGTCATACCACATTAACACAGAGATACAATTGTCGATTCACATCCCGTAGTGGTAGAGGTAGTGAAAGTATAAGCAGTAATCAAAAACACTAGGGTTTGAAGATGTTATTCAAGGAGTATAATCCAGTGAAATAAATTTCCAAAGAGAAAAAAAGGAACATGAAGGATTCAGAAGGTTACAATTTGGGAGAACACAGAGAGTGGATGCACCTGCGCCATTGAAAACGAATTTTGAATCATGTCATTCAAGGTCTCTAACCATTGATTGCTACCATCTCGCGGATCCCAACTAGGTAGTCTACACTTACCAACATGGCTCAGTTCACATGTCAGTGACATCATGGATTTGTGCTATGTTTTGGTCTGGCCGCCTCTAGCTTTCTTCAAACCTAATCTTACACCTTAAAACATCGTACTTCGGGGAAGTCGGTGGTTGGACATACGTATCACTTGTCCCAGCCATCTCAACTGATGAAGTTTCACTACTTCAACAATTGATTTGCCATGCTTAACTAGTACCCGTTTCCTAACAGCTGCGTTACTTACCCGGTGGTCCCAGGATATACGAGCAATGTTTCGAAGACATCTATGATCGAATACTAGTAACCTACGAATATCGTCTACTCTTACCGGCCATGTTTCACTGCCATAAAATAGGACGGAACGAACTGCTGCGCAATAAACCTATCCTTTGTTTGATAGACAGATATCTCATCTACACCATAAATGATGTAAGTTGGCAAAAGCTAATCGAGTCTTCTGTATCCGTACTAACATTTCATCACAAAAGGATTGATGAATTCATAGGGTTTCAGTTTTCTAATAAAATTTTCATAAATTTATCCATTTAATATTTCATTATTTTTTTAAAAACTTATTAATCAGCTGATTTTAGTTATACTTATTTTCAATTAGATAATTTAATGATCATTGTTTATGACTTAAATGAGATGAATATACAAATGCCTTAGATACGGATATATATATATGTCATTAGTAACATTTCAAGGATATGAAATTTTTGATTAGTTTTCCATTTATATTCTCATGCTTTATTTATTATTATTATTATTATTATTATTATTTAATGTCCTAAATTTAAAACTAAATATACCATTATTATTATTATTATTATTATTATTATTATTATTATTATTATTATTATTATTATTATTATATTTCGAATAAAATTCATTTATGAATTTCTTTATTATTCCCGTTTAATGAACTTTTACACGTACGTGTCATATCTTAACTGGTTACAAGTTAACCTTAATATATTTCCATCAAACCATTACACACCTTTAATTAAAATATTCTTGATAAATTGAAAACAAATAAACAAATAATATGAATCCATATTTAATTTAGTTCATTCTTTTTGTGTGTGTGTGTGTGGAAATTTTCAATATATATTTATTGATTCAGAAGGGGTTTTTGTGGATATTATAGTAATTTTAATAGTTGAGATCATGAATCAATTAAAATTAGACCATCATGAAAAATCTAAAAGCACTGGATGGTCTAAAGGTTACGCGTCCACTTGCGAGTCCGATAGGTCCTGGGTTCGAATTTCGTGGGAGGGGGGCGAGATCGTGAATATGCACTGCTGATAAGTCCCACAGTAGCACGAAACAACCGTCCAGTGCTTCCAGGTTTCCCATGGTGGTCTAACTTCAATTGATTCATAATCTCAACTATTTAAATTACCAAAATATGTATAAAAACCACTTCTGATGGTAATCAGCATATGCTCACTAGTGACTGGCTTCAAGAGGTATTTCCTGGAGTTCTAGTGACAAGAAGTGACTAGTGGAGTTCAACCAGTTCTGTTGTAAGATAGTAACTCACTGAAGACATTGATGGATGTACTGCTCAATTTCGTGGATTAGTTGAAGTTAAATAAATATTTCACAGATTGAAATCATGAGTCAGTTGAAGCTAGACCACCATTGAAAACCTGGAAGCACTGGACGGCCGTTTCATCCTAGTATGGGACTCCTCAGCAGTGCGCATCCACGATCCCACACCACGCGGGGCTCGAACCCAGGACCTACTGGCTTCGCGCGCGAGCACTTAACCACTAGACCACTGAGCCGGTATCCAACGGTGTTAATGTCTAACTTCAACTAATCCACGAAGGTGCGCCACCGTACACCGTTGTCTTCAGTGAGTTCCTATCTCACACCAGCATATGCTCACTAATGACTGACTTCAAAAGGTATTTCCTGGAGTTCTAGTGACAAGAAGTGACTAGTGGAGTTCAACCAGTTCTGTTGTAAGATAGTAACTCACTGAAGAAAATGATAGATGTGCCGCTCAATTTCGTGGATTAGTTGAAGTTAAATAAATATTATTGTTGAATGTAAATTAGACTTTTATTAGTTAATGATATACTACTTTTCCTGGTAGTAAGTAGTATGTTTACAGTATTTTTACAACTACCATTATAATCGACAGTTTATGAGGTTTACGCGCTAGTCTGTTTAGTATGGAATATTCATTTTTTTAAAAAAGTTTTCTGTTTGATATTATGTAAAGTTGAATGAATTCTTAGTCTTGAATTTATTCTATGCTGTTAATATTATTGCTTGTTTTATTGACAATGTCGTATTGTAATAATCGAAAAAGCTTTCTAGTATCTTTATTGATATTTTGAACTGATGGTACACAAAGAAATTATCCATTAGCTCTCTTATTGATTGAGTTACATTGGTTAGTTATAAGCCGATAAATCATTCATATGATTATAAGTAGAGAAACAGTTGTTTTTCCAGTTGTTGTATTCTCTGAATAAGATGGTTTGGCCATCAGCAAATACTTAAAAAAAGACTTATTTTCGAAGTATGTTGTGACAATGTTGTTTTGAAAGACGATAAAATCATCCAGCTCTGAGGATAATACATCTCTAAAATTCTCATTTTGAGCTACCAATATACATCATTTTCCATAAAACAATAATTTTAGGATATCATATAATTAAATGGCAGTTCAATTTATTACAGCATAGTAAAATAAAGATTTATTGGCCAATAAAAAGAATATAGGTAAAGAGAATTAAATTTAATGCATGATATTAGACTATTCAGATATAGATGATGTGTCCTTGTGTCGCTATCATCGGTTTCGAACAACGTCACCTAGGTTATCCAACAACATATTTAAAAGGACATGAGGACATCAAACATAGAACCTGTATTTTTTATTGAGGTTAAGCCTACTAGTCAATAATATTATGAAGTGATACCATATCTAAACACTGATACTGTCAGTCCTCCAAACTACTCCCACATCGTTCAGTATACCTTCTTCAGGTAGGATGATTATCGTTGACATGTCCTAATCATCCCACTCTGTGAAAATTTACTCTGTTATCCATTTTTCATTCAGCATAATATATTTCTCATAATCTTTCCTCATTATGTAGTTCTACTGACTAAACAAGTCTCCAACGTTCGTGTATTAGTTGCAAGGAGTGTTAGATTTATTGAGCAATATACTTTTAATTTTTATTTAAAACTGATCTATGTTTGTAATTATCTAGTTAACTCCTACTTCATAAGGCGGTGGGTCATATAAACTGTCCAAATAAGTAAGTTGGTCAAAATATCCAACTATCTCATGGCATGTAGTTGGACTATAATGATAATTAGAAGTATTTGAATTATAGTATGAACTAAGAATCCCAGAAATAACATAATCGGATCAAGAAGTACTAGATAACCACAAACGAATGTACTGTATTTAGAATTCGAAATCATGCATTCAACAAGTACAAAGGTATCATTAGTTCATTCAAACAGCACAATTAAGCATCATTTGAGACAAAAAAATGTTGGATCTTCTATGTGTTATTATTACTTTTTCGTTAATGATTTACATGAGTAATTTGTAAAACGATTAATAATTTAATTCACTGTTAGCATATTATGTTTATGGGATAATTGACAAGATTAGTACATTGGAACAAATATTCTATGTCTCAACAAAATTCATTTACATTAGTCTTCAAAATCTGATACTTTCCTATAAGTCATACGTTTGCATTTCACTTTGTCCATTGTAGTTTGATTAGTTGCAAGGTGTCACAATAATAGAAATCTGAGAAGTTTAAATATCATTTATTGGCTATTGGTTTTCCTATTTATTCAGTACTGTTAGTAAAAAAGGGGACTAAATGGAGACAATGGAGCATGTTTTTTTCTTTTACTGAGTTAATGTCACAGAAACTAGATGCTTAAATTATTGATCTCTGTTAGATTTTGTCAATCTTTTTCGAACTTTATAATTTATGTATAAGAAAGGATGAATGATTATATAGCTGTTTGGAAATGTAAACTAAACATTTGTCATACAATCGCCCCCAAATAGCCTGGTACGGCCGAGGGTTAGGAAAGTCCGCTCTCCAAATGTTTTCACATGACACGCGTATATAGCCACTGCCACGGAAGTTATGCTCACTACCTTCTCATGGCAAGTATATTGTTTACGAAATTGAGAGGACAAAAAGCGAATGTCCGGTGCTTTAACCGGGTTAGTGGATATGTAGGGTTCACGCTGAGGAGTTGGAAAACCCTGATTCCAAACCAATGGTGTATATGGGCTGCAGTATCCTGAGGGAACAAATGGCGTATGAACCAATCGTTGATCACCAGACACCATAGGACTGCATTCTCTTACGTTGCTCCGGATGTGGCCCTCTAAGGAAACCACCTGCTTCGGTCTGGGCACCCGGTCAGTATTACAGCCCACATACATCAAGTGATTTGTGTGGCGTATATGTATTTGGTGCCTCTTTGTACTAGTATTTATATGTTCAAATAAACAAATAATTATCAATAAATCACAATAATTCACTAATCAACACTTCTAACATGTTATATTTCATCATTTTGTATTTCTTCTTCTAGATTTTATTTTTCATTGTTTAAATATTTATATGTATATTTTAAACAGATACATCCTTCCTTAGTCTATTCAATAATCCTGAAATGCGTGTAATTACTGAAAATTTCACAGTTTATCATATATGTGCTCCTGGACATCATGAAAATGCAACAAATATTAGTTTTGGGTAAGTTCTATGTTCATATTACATATAATCAAATTGTATTATGTCTATTCTTTTATATTCTTTAAATCTGATATTCACTATCAACTTTTAATTATAGTAGATTTTCTTCTTTTTCGTTTGTCAAAATTGTAATTATATTCTATCAAGAGTTTTTCTATAAAATGCGTAATGTTTTTGTAGCGATTTGAGTAATTTTATAGTTGGATTCATGACTCGTGGAAAACATGGAAGCACTGGACAACCGTTTCGTCCTAGTATGGGGCTCTACAACAGTGCGCATCCACGATCCCGCCCCGCGAGATTCGAACCCGGGACCTATAGGTCTTGCACGCGAACGCTTAACCTATAGACGTAAATGGGGAATTCGGTTATCAGTTATTGAAAGGATTAATTTAATTAATGAATACAACCATTTTGTTTTCTTTTCTCATCATGAATTTTTCTTTAGCCGACATTGAACTAAACACGTTTCTCATTGATGTTATAACCCTATAATTTAGACAATGCTGTAGTTTAGAATTCAATCCATGTGTTTCTTGTTTATGTACTCGAATCTATTATTAATGTGTGGTGTTTGAACTGTTTAATTCTGGAATAGTGTTGATTCAATGTAAACGGTTCATAACTCAACAAAACTTGAACACTACTCATATTTTCTCTTATATTTAACTATTAATAATAATAATTATTTCAAGGAGCTTGGATACTAAATTTAAACAAATTACTAGTCTTATCAACTGTTAAATTGTAATAACCACCTATTTTTATGGGAAGAAAACCGAACACTGTTAAGTCCGTCCACCTTAGCTACAAAACATTCCCATCATTTCAAGTTGTTAGTTATAATTTTAGCGTAATTTTTAAAAAAAAGGAGATTGATACTTGTGCGATGTGTACTACTTGTACGGACAGATAAAAGTAGCATGTATCAGGAATTGAGAGTGGAATTTTTACAGACAGAATAGGAAAATAAGGACATGAGAAAGGGAAACAGAAAGCAATCGAAACGATAGCGGGAATGGAAGAACGATGGAGTTTGTAAGGGACAACTCAAGGAAGATGGACAAATAGTGGTTTTAATGTGTTGTTGTCATGTTTTCCAAATGCAATATGTGATTTTGTATGATACAGTAAGTTGGTTTACTCTAACCAAGTCTTCGTTCATTACACTTGTACTTGTTACGAGTATGATCCAGGTAATACATGGAACATCTCTGTCGAATTGTAAGCGAATATCATAGGTTATATATCCACTTCAGTCAAACGTAATTTCTCATTTCCTCTCTCCGCGATAATGATGAATGTATAGTTGTCTTACTGACAGAAGATATTGTAGGTCGCTAGAAAGCTGTTTCAAATCAATATGGAACTACTCAGTAGTGCGTTTCCACAATCTCGTCAGGGGTTAAACCCAAAACGTTCAGTTCTTGAGGTTAATACCAAACACTAGAACCACTGAGTCGGCATCCAGTGATACAATCCCAGCTTGAATCAACTTGTGATATAGACGGTCATCGAATCCCTAAAGTAACGACTGTTTTACTAGCAATATATTTGAACTTCATCAGCCACCACTTCTCAATCTGTGATGAGTACAGCCTACAAAGTAAACCAACCTTCACGAAACCCTCTTTAGCTATAAACTATGATAGTCACCTTACTGATGACTGACTTCAAGATCTTCCTGAACTTCTAGTAAATGTCTTGGCTAGTAGAATTCAGACAGCGATACAGCTTTTATCAATGACATTTTGTGGTCGTCACGCTATAGTGCAAATTGATTGAAATTGGAATTTTACCATTGACCCTCAACCAAATGGTTCTAGCGGTCAAGCGTTCGTTTCGAGACCTAGAGCTTCTAAAACTAATCCTTGGGACGATCGTGGGTCCAAACTGGCAAGGAAATCTCATTTTAGAATCAAACAGCCGTTTAGTGTTCCCTGTTTTTCTATGATCCCTTAAATGAAACCAATCTATGGCGAATACAACCTACAAAAGAAAAAATTAGTTACTTTCAATGTGTTTACAGTATTAATGAATATAGGTTAGATTGAGCAAATTCACATTATTCTTGGAAATTTATACTAATTTGTTCCATGAAGGTAGAATGAACAAATCATTCTCACCTCAAAAATTCTGTTGATATATTTCTAGGAAAATAAATTATATTGTATTGTAACTTGTAAGTGTGCATATAACATACAATTTCGGACAACAATTGAATCTGTATATGACCCTAAGTAGATAGTTAACCTATGATATTCCCTAACATTCCAACAAATAATGACATTCCATGAACTACCTAACATATATATATATATATATATATATATATATATATATATATATATATATATATATTAGTTGCAAGGACGGAAGTCATTATTGTATGTTTGTGTATGTATGATAATATAACGAACTTTTCCAAATCTACAAACAATTAGGCTTTTATTTGTGTCAATGTAGATAACACATCAAAGTGAAATGAATAGAATGTTGATTTGTGAATAATTTCAATTCTTTCAACTGATTTTGTGTTACTGACAGACTTTTTATTTGACGAAATTGCGCCTTCGTATACCATTGTCTTCAGTGAGCTGATATCTCACAACAGACTTAGTTGAACTCCACTGGTAACGGCTTCTCACTAGAACTCCAGGAAATACCTGTTGAAGCCAGTCATTAGTGAGCAGATGATTATTATCAGAATGGGTTTTGTGGAAATTTTAGAAATTTCACTAGTTGAAATCATGAGTCCGATTGAAGCTAGACCACCATGGAAAACCTGGAAGCACTGGACGGCCGTTTCGTCCTACTGTAGGACTCCTCAGCAGTGCTCATCAACGATCCCTCCTCCCGTGAGATTCGAACCCAGGATCTATCAGTCTCGCGCGCTAGCGTTTAACCATTAGACCACTGAGCCAACATCCATTGGTGTTAATGTCTAACTTCAACCAATCCACGAAATCGCCCCACCGTACACCATTGTCTTCAGTGAGCTGATATCTCATATAACAAACTTTTCCAAATCTACAAACAATTAGACTTTTATTTGTGTCAATGTAGATAACACATCAAAGTGAAATGAATAGAATGTTGATTTGTAAATAATTTCAATTCTTTCAACTGACTTTGTATTACTGACAGACTATTTTTTATTTGATTTCAATTTCATGAACATCTATCGAAAATTGATATAATTCAAAATCAATTAACTTTTTATCTTCCTTGAAAAATCCATCAACTTGTTTCTTTGTTTGCAGAAAATCTCGGTGTCTTTTTGTATAGAGTATGGAATTTCTGTTTAATATTCAGCATTTTCTTGTGTAAATCATCCATTCATATAATTTGATGACAACATAGAATGTAGAGAAATTAATATTTTATGTGGTACGTAAGTCAGTTAGTCTCAGCGTAGAACCTAATACGTATGTATATCGGTTCAAGTTGTTATACTCCATTAGCACAGGGATGAAATTGTTTCAGCGAATCTCATAGTAGTAAAAGTAGAAACAGCACTAGTAGTAATAGAAAAGATTAGGTACTGGTGATACGTTTCAAGGAAATATAAATTAATGGAATAAAAAATTATGAAGAGTTTAAAAGTTTAGAATCTGGAGAAATACAATGAATGGATGCATCTACGCCATTGCAAATTATTTTGAGTCATAGCATTAAAAGCCTCTAACCACCGGTTATGATAGTCATGTGAACCCCAACCAGGTAGTCTACAACTATTAACATGACTCTGTTCAATTGCCAATGACTTCGTGGACTGATGCTGTGTTTTGGTGTTTCCACCCCTAACTTTTTTCCAGACTACTGTTACTCCAGACAGCATTACCCATCGAAGTAGACGGTAAAGATTTACTACCTCGTCAATCAGTTTCCCATTGTTACCTAGTAGCCCTAATTTGTGGTTCCAAAATACATAGATAATGCTTCGAAGATACCCATGACCGAATATTAGCAACCTATGAATGTTCTCTATTCTTAATGGGCATGGTACAAAAATGACCTAATGAAAAGTAAAACGAATTGGACTCACAGATATATGAAGAAAATGCTTGGCATCAAACGGTAGAAGGTTTCATTTCTGTTTATATTCAGGGGCAGGGCATATCCTCACTTTTTGTGAGATTCCATTCATATAATTCAAAATGGTCTTTGTGAGTTACTTAGACTTAGTAGCCACATTAAAACTTGATCAATCCAATTTATTTAGTAATATGGTTTGGGCAATCTTCTTGGTCATTAATCACTGATCAATTAGTATTACAACTCTGCAGGTTGGAGTTTTGTTGATACCTTCTAGATTGGCTTCATTTTATGTCTTTCAGTAGAATTTTGGAAGGAAGATCATGACCTTGTTAAGAAACACTAGGGAACATCAGCTTCTATAGAATTGCAGGTACGCCTCGGTGACATTTTTCAACCATGGCATGAAACCACTTAAGAGATCAACATAACGCATTTGATGTTAAGTCACTTAGATTAGTGGCCATATTGTGACTTCTTCGACAGTATTCAGTCAACATAAAAGACTAGATAAACGTGACATTAATCACTACTCGATGATCAATCAATTATAGAGCTGAAGTTATCAAGATAACTATTGATCATAAACTTTTATCTTTTCTTTGTCTATCGTTTTAATCATTTACAAATTGAAGGCTTATAGTAAGGGAGACGACTTAGTGATTAAAGCACTCGATAATAACAGTTTTACTATATTAGTTATATAATCCTTTACTAGTTCTGCTTTGCTCTTAGTTTTTGTTAGAACTGACGAGTTCCAAAAGAAACGTTCCCTTTTACCATAACTGTGGAACAGCACAGCAATTTTTTAAGTATCATAGTTGCTGAATAAAACTCATTTAGCTTCGTCATTCCACTCGAATCAGACGAATAAAAGCTGAGGTTTATTTTATTCCAATAACATGATTATAATTTGCATTGTTGATTTCACTAATTCGTTATGTCACAAAAATTCCACCGAATATTGTCTATGAAATATTCAACGATCTGTTATGTTGTGTGCAACAGGCTACATCATAAAGATGATATTCGTTTTTCTAGAGTACTGAAGCCATTATTCTATCCTATTATACAATTCCAAATAGAAGAATACAACTGTGAATCGTTGTCTTGGATTTTCCTTTATGTTAGATAACAATCAACAAAAGTGTTCATTTGTGAATGTGTTATATCCCGATAAGAATAATGAATGGTAACTTTTGGGATCCATTTATGGACCAATACTATACGTGTATTTTTATCGTGTGATTGTTAAATAACTAAACTATACACATTCATGTCCCTCTTATTCTGAGCTCTATTTTGACCTATGAACTATTATTATACGGTTTACCATTTTTGAGTTATACCCAGTATATTAATTACTACCTCCCACATTCACATCCACATTTGGCTAAATCTTGTACAAATGTTGTTTCATATTTTATGGTACGTTGTGGTCTGTCGGGTTGGTATATAAACCCAGTATGCTTGAAATAAATGATTCATGTTGCAGAGGCTGAGATTAGTGTTCTGGATTTGACTGGCTAGGTTAGGCAGCAAGCAGGACCAATAAGTGTACTCTAGACTACTCGTACGGGTTTTATGCCTCATTGGTCCGGTCGATAATTCACTGCTCTCTAATTGGCGGTATCATTACGTTATCCATTAACAGGGCACACAGACCACAAGTTATAACAGAACGGATGTTAATTTTATAAAGAAACTACAATATTTTACATAGAACTATATTTTCACTTATCTTTATATATAATTATTTCAATTGTATTATATAAATGGCACATATTTGAAATTACTCTAGATTGATCCCTAAAATAACACCATTATCACCTAATGAGTAAGTTCCAATTCTACACCTGTGTGTATGGAGTTCAATGGGAAAATTGTATTCATTTTGAATTTTTCCTCTAAATGTATTGTCCCCGTAACTAGTTTCTGTGTATGGTTGTCATAATGATCAAGGTGTTTAGTGTTTGTTTGTTTTTTCTTTTAGAAATTATTTTCACAATTTCTGTCATGTAGCACTTTGTGTTCAGTATTTCTTTTTTTCAATGACATTTTGTGGTCGTCAGGCTATAGTGAGAATTGATTGAAATTGGAATTTTACCATTGACCCTCAACCAAATGGTTCTAGCCGTCAAGCGTTATTGATTTATTTATCATGAACTGAAGCCAGTTGATTGATTGATTTATTTATTTTAACACATAGATATTGGTACAAGGAGGCACCAAATACATATGCGCCGCACAAATCGAATAAGATTCGTGTGAGGGCTGTGATACTGCCCGGGTGCCCAGACCGAAGCAGGTGGTTTTCTTAGGGGGCCACACCCCGAGCCTTCGACCTGAGGGTCTGATCCACAAGGCAGTGGAGCATCGTAAGGAGATGCAGTCCCATGGAAGCCGGTGACCAACAATTGGTTCATACGCCATTTGTTCCCGCAGGATACTAGAGCCCATGTGCATCATTGGTTTGGAAACCGGTTAAAGCTCCGGACATTCGCTTTTCGTCTTCCCATTTTCGTAAACAACACCCCTGTCATGAGAAGGCAGTGAGTAGGACTTCCCTGGCAGAGGTTATATACGCGTGGCCATGTGAGAGCATTTCGAGAGGGAGAGCGGACTCTCCCCACTCTCGGCCATACCAGGGCATTTGGGGACGCCAGTTGAAGAAATATTGAAAACTAAGGATCACTAGGAACACTTTAGTAGTCATCACCTACAAGTTCATATGTCATTGAATTACAGTACGATCACTAAGTTAGTAGATGATGATTTTGATTCTCAATGTCAGTCATTCAGCGTTATAGTGCGACACTAATCCAGCATCTTAATTGGAGTTGTTGGTTTCTACCAATTACGGCTTCTTACTGTATTTAATTCATCTTTCTATCTGTCGTTTAGTTTTATGGTTTATAGTGATTACTTCATTATAGGTGAGGTTTTCGCCATAGATTGTTGCTGATCACATAATACCGAACAACACTTTTACTGTTGTTTGATGAACACTGAAAGTGCGAAATTCCCATGAAATCGAACTTTGGACTGCATAATGATTAGAGATAAGCCAATAAGTCATGAACCACCTATAGGTTAACATTACCAACTCCAATGTCTTTTGCTTTTTTAGTAGTCAGTTCATAATTGAAACTCATTTCTACTTGAACTAGTCTCCTCCATAAGTTGTTCATTTGTAATTTATGAGTATCAATTTATTTATTTGTAGTGTATAGCAATATTTTTTTTACATATCTCCACTTAATCTTATGTAAGATGCACAAAATGAATGTTGTTTTTTGTTGTTGTAAATACTCAATGATAATTGTTGTGACATTGTCTACTTTAAGTTGTTGGTTTGTTTGTTGTTGCAATAAGTGTTTACTATTTATTCTTATCCTTTTTATCCTTGAAAATAATTTAGTGAACCTGGTCAAGATCAAGTATTATTATCATCACAGCCAGATATACAAAAACAACGTCAATCAATTTCATCAGTTACTGGTAGTAGAGGAAGTATTTTTGAAGCAGTTCGTAGAAGATCTTCACTATTGATGAATCGGTAGTTATTTATTTATTTATTTAGATTACACAATATTTTGTTTCACTTTTTTTGTCATCGTTGAACCATCTGTTTGCATATGGTTTTTGAGCTAAATACCATTTAATTCTCTCTAATCTAATTTAGTAGTATCTAGTCGGTTGATATTCCTTTTGTGGTAGAAGTATAATATAATGACGTTGTTGGCGACTTATCAACCGATCAGGAGACTCTGCATAGTTATAAAACGGTTAGCAATATAAAGTAATGAAATAATAGTGGAATAACAGCTTTGGTCGTAATAATTAAGCTCCACAAGTCAAATTATCCCTTGTAATAAAGTAAAAAGGGGAAGTTTACATATATATTAGGAGTCGGGTTAGTGTTATGAGTTATGATTATCAACCCACATAGTTTTCGTCACCAACTGCCACTAGAGATCATGCTAAATGGTTAGGTTTAAGTATTAAGAGTCAAACTGGAGTTATGCATTAAGTTTACAAATTAGGTTCATAGTTTTTAACATGAACTGACATCAGTTATAATTTAATGACTTGCCATCTTCCTGTTTATAAACTTAAAAAAACTTAGGGTTAAAATATAGAATGAGAGTAAAAGAAAATAGGGAGAAAGTTATCTAGCTTCACAAAACACTTGATTACACAATAAACGATATGAAGTGCTTTAACACAAAATCTGTCTCAGAATCAGGTAATTTATGTAATTTAACTCAAACACTATCTAAAATCCACCTTTTTCTTTATCGTATGACATATTTTTTTTATTGATTTTAAGCATTTTTAGAACCGAATATTTGCCAACTATCACTTGGCTAATAATAACATATTATCTATTACTGCACTGTAAACTTCATGTAAAATACATTAGGTATCATCATAATTCTGATTGGTTAACTCGAGGTCATCAGTGTGTTATACTTATACCGTTTCATATTCTTAATTAGCCTACTTACTACCAGTGAGTATCACTATCCTATAAGCACGTACATCATACATAAACACATGTATACTAATAATAACAATAATAATAATAATGAGTTCTGTGATTTTGAGTAGCATGTATATTCCACTTTCAAACTTAGTATTTTCAGAGGAAATGGGTTAATTTTAATCACTTAGACGTAAGCATTCTTCTCTTTGATTAATGTTAAGATATTTCCTTTTGCTCTGATCACTTTCAACTATGTAACTTTCATTGAACTGTACTGTAGGTTTGTGTTCTATACATTCAGGAAAAATTGTCAAATACAATTTAAAACAGTATGAAATCGGTTGTATAATGAAAGGTCGTAAACTTTTCATAAATGCACCTGAATAGGTCATGCGATTAATAATTAATTAATGATATGTTAAAACAAACAGAAAATAGATAACTTCTTTTAATATCTAGATGATAGGAATAGGTTGTCCAGATATTCAAGCAGGTTGCCTGGTAATATATATACATTATTGTATATTATTTGACTCTGCAAGATATGAAGTTAATCGACTTGATTTCCTGTGTTAAATGTGTATGACGATACAGTTTTAAACTGGAACGAGATCATTATTTGGTGCTTTTAAATTTTAAGTGGTTTACCAGTCAATATCACTCCACTATGTCAACAACCGATAGACCTGATTGGGTTGTTTTGCTAGGAGTAATAAAGCAATGTGATGTATGCTACTTATGTCAACAGATTTGTCATCTAAATGTATCTTCATCCTAATATTGGTATTGACACGAAAATTGGAACATTGTTCCGATCGCTTCAAAAACCAAAACGTTATTCACTAGGTTCACGAGTTCAAATGGCAATTATAAACTTATTCGTAAGTTTTCTTTTCTCGTTTAAAAATAATCTAACTTGTGACTAATCAGTTAGTTATACCTATACAGTCTATTCAGAATTCACATATGCCAATAGAGACTGGTTAACTGCAGCCCTTAATATAAACAACATAGAAATACATACTTTAATTATATCGGTAAGTAATACCATAGGGATAAGTCATATATAACTCCTTGTGTTATTTTTCTTGGATATTTTGTTAACTTTTCAGACTTTCAATACTTGAGATCATGAGTCAGTTGAAGCTAGACCACCATGTAAAACCTGGAAGCACTGGACGGTAGTTTCGTCCTATTGTAGGACTCTTCATCAGTGCTCATCCACGATCCCAACCGCGGGGTTCGAACCCAGGACTTGTCAGTCCAGCGCGCGATCTCTTAGTCTCTAGACCACTGAGCCGGCACCCTTTATGATACTTATCAGATTTCGTTTAAATATTAAAACATGTACAATCAACTGAATAATGTACATAAATGGAATTATGTTAACTGTGAAAAATAATGTAAACGGTTTTATCCAATTTGAAGCTGTTTTATTAACATCTCAAATATGATTTTTTAACTTATTATTAGTATTATTAATGACTCACTGGAATGCAAAATCATAATTCATCAATAAAAAAAGTCACTTATTCCTATGCATCATTTATGTATAAGTGGATATAAATATTCCTACTAAAAATAACTGATAACATATATATATGTGATTAATTGAGCGAGATCACAGGTCTACGGTGTTGATGAGTCCTTGCCAGCACGAAACTCAAGTTAACTAAGGCTTCTTACCAACTATCTCCAATCAAAACAGTGCATACTGTAATGCCATGTATACTAGTAGGGACGTCGAAACTTGATCGATATAATTCAATGGGTGCTAAGGACTAGACGTATGTTTGACTTCATTCAATGTGCTCAATCAACGTATTTTGTCCTAGTGTTTAAATTCGTTTGATATTCTACTAACCACCACAAATTATACTACCCTTCGATAGTATTTTATAATTATAACATTCTTATTTACTAAGTTGGTACATATTCATTTGTAAAGCAATTAGTACCGATGTGAATTTTCATCAACTTAGGTAATTGAAATACATAACCTTCTCTCTACATGCTGTACTAGGTTACATAAGAGTAGGTTGGAAAAAGACTAAAGGCAACTAAATCTATGGTATAGCATCAGTTCAGACTGTTTGAGCCAATGTTAAGAGATGTAGACTTTCTTTTTGAGCCTTGGGAAATCATTTCAGACTTAACATGAAATGGATTAAAATTAAATGACTTTATCACAATGGGATTCATTTTCTAATTATTTTTTAGTTCATCATCATCTCATACTTTTAATTCTTCATTTTCACTATCTTTTAAGTTTTTTTTCTTACTGCAATTGATTATGTTGTTTACATTCATCACATTCATTTATATTCAACAAAGTAAAATCCTTTGACAATTGACTCAATAATGTCCAGTATATTTAGTTAGGGTAGTAGTATAATAAAGACTTAGTTGTATGCAAATGCTTAAATTTATCTAACTAATAAAAGGGGAATTAACATACATAATCACTTAAATGAAAGTACAAGAGATCATGTTGCCATAGTGATAACTTGGCAAAGTAAGAAATAAAAAAAATCAAATAGAGTAAAGAAAATATTAAAATGAAATATACCAGTATTTAAAAAAATAGGATATTGCAAATATGATCATAAGATAATGCACAGTTGTACACTCTTTGTACTGTACAATCTACGATATCACCTTGTCAACATCTTCAACACAGTTAATACCAACAACTATGAATTTCACTAATCATTTTAATGGATTGAACCGACCAGTTTCTTTCAGGGTATTTCCCGTTATGTAATGAGGATTTCCGGCCTAACCGTTGCTAGTATAGTTAAAGCATCTTCAAATAATTACCTCAGAAATAAGACTACTTACAATAAACTATAATTGCTGATCAATACGTGATTAATGTAAATCAGGTATCTGGCGAATAACACTGACCTTTCAACTGATGGATACTGGGTTCGAATCTCGGGAGAGACTATTTATGTGTATTTCACTTTTGTATGCGTATTTCATTTATAATGTAAAAACCTTACATTATAAATGATGCATCAATCTTATTCCTCTCAAAATACTCTCAAGTTATGGTAATATGTTTGTTCAATCTCTATTCCCATTACTTAAAGTATCAGTACAGTCTTCAGACACCAAGCTCTGATTGTTTTATACAGCTTTTCCAACCCATAATGTTTTATTTGAATCACTTGCACATAAAAAGTTTTCAAATTTACTCCATCAGTACTCATTTGGATAATGAATCGGCTATCGTAAAAGCCAGTTGTTTTAAACTTCCATTATTTTTGTCAAATTAGGAAATCGACAACCCTAGTATTATCTCTACAGTTTCCAAGGCTCTTATTGAATTACTAGGTTCACTTTTAGAGATTCATGCTTCTTTAGTGGGCTATATACAAAACTTCATGTGTTTCCTAAAGCTTTAAATCAATTTTATAACACCTACTTTATCCAGTCCGTTGTATTCATTGGAAAAATTACATTATATATATGTCCGCCCCCTGGTTGGTGGCTTCTGCTCCTCCACGAGGAGCAACAGACGTAATTAAGTATATATCCACTCAAATATGTTAAACACTTGGTTTTATCCACATATCCAATCATGAGGAAAACAATCCATTCATATACTTGGTTTTTACTTTCAGTAATAGTATAATGATTACAATTGTATTGATTCCTAACTTATGCATGAATTGATTCCCAAATCTTTAACGTTATATTTAGTTGATGGATATATATTATCAGTGAGACTATAATTTATGGACGACTTTTTAGTGACACCGAATTGAACTTGAGAGTGGAATCCTACTGAATAGGATTAAATAAGAGTTATAAAGCAGTTAGAATTCTCATTTACAGTTGATAGTTAGAGTCAAAAATTAAATTTAGGGTTTTCATCATGAACTGACATCAGCTATAATGCCAAAACTCTATTTAGCCAAATGTATGGACGAATTCCGCGACCAAATTCGTGACATTTTATCTTGTATCTGATTGGTTCGTCCATAAATTATATTCTCGCCATATTGTCAATTAAATATTGAATTATGTAATAATATACATTGCAATATTAGTTTCTATTATAT